AAGACGAATTATACTGTGGTTTCTGCTTTGTTGAAAAAAAAAATTCTGCCGGTCGGCGGGGTTATTGCCGTACGAAATTGGTAACGTTAATATTGAGTAAAGGAGGGTCCTCTGTAGACACAGCAAGTCGAAGCATGTATTGACTCTGGGGCAAAAGGAAACAGAACGAAACATTCTTCCAAAACTAAGAGGAGAATCAATGCGCTCCTTTCACTCGTTATATCTGCTGTTTATACTGCAGCCTTTATGTCTGGAGCTCCAATGTTTGTTTAGGCTCGGATCCTCCTTCCTTTCCCCTAAACATACTTCCACCCCAATTGTTTGTTTTACAAATACACTTTTTACACTGAGTAAACAGGAATTTTGTGCGCTGTTAGGAGGAGAATTCCTTATGTTCGGTTGCTTTTTCTATAGATAAAATAATAAATGAAAGAGAAAAAAAATCATTTTCAGCATATTTCTACGATTAATAATTACTTTTATTAATAATAATTAATAATTAACCATTTGAATATATTTATAAACAGAAATAGAATTGTGATGAAATAAAGTTACTCTTTGACTTAAGCTTTAGCATCTTTGATTTTAAACATACTCAGAATGGCTTGTAATAAGTTTAGTTGAATTTAAGATTATTGTATAATTAACTAGTAATTAAAAGTAGGGAAATGAGGCGTTAATGTTAAAGTATCAATTGCTTAACTAATAATTTAATTATCCCTGGGTGATTTTTGTACATTGATGAAGTTATTCAAATATTAAGCTTGTTAAATCTTGAACCATCATTATTTTTCTTCAACTCTACATCTTGCCATTTCCTTTTATGCGACATTCATTAATTAATTAGGTGTGTAATAAAACAATCAAAGCATTTCATTATTCACAGTCATAATAAATTTGAATAAAATTGGGAAAAAATTGAAAGACGCATCCAAACATGTCGTTGAACGAATTTAATTAATTTTGACAATGTTTAATTAACTGGATTATCCGGTCTGCTTATTCTCAAAGGGCTGGATTTGTCTGGTAGTGCATTGAATCATACATACAATCTCTACTTGATCTTAATGCAGAAATTATTTAAAAACAGATAATCTTGACTAAAATGGAGAATAATTATGTCATTAGCACATGTAAAATTGCTGTGTTTTAGTTACATAAGTGCTTCTTACCAGCCATGCTCATTTATTGTCCATTCTCTGCCATGTTATTTAACAGAGCCTTGCAATTGAAAAAATTGGCATTTTCAACTTCTTTTTTTAATTAGTTAACCATCTACCCCTATATATTTATTAATATTATTTTTATCACAATTCATACAATTTGATGTGTAGTGTATGTTTTAGTTAAGCAGATATACATGCAAGTTTGTAAAAGAGAAAATTTTCTGAAATTGTCGACAAGTTTCTACCGTGATCTCCGTTTTGAACTGAATACCTGGCCTTCCTCCTTCAGACTGCCACTTCTGCGGAATATTAGCCTGCTTACTTAAGGAAAAATATAATTGTAAAATGTAAAAACTGGAGAAGACTCATTTTCCATCATAATCCACCAGAATCAATCAGCATACATGATGGGAAATGATTTGATGTAAATAGATAAAATTAATTTAACCTTAACTCTTGGTTCTGCCCGCATGGTAATCAGCATGCAAATTAATTTAAGTATGAATTTCCATTTAATCTGTTTTATAATTAAAATTTTCCAGCTTAAATATCTTTGATTTGCACCTTTCCGATTTTGATCTGCCTATCCTCTCTGAGTTGGTCTGTCAGATGCATTCCAGCATTTTGTCATCTTCAGTGTGTGGTATCTTAAGTTTTATTGTTTTCAGAGGAATAAAACATAAAATAAATTAAACTGTTAGAGATTTTAAAAATGGGGCACAATTTAGATGGCCAAATTCTGAAACACATCTGACAGATAGACCAAGTGAGAATAGGCATTATGAGATGATTGGTTAGGACAAAATCACAGATTCGTCGCCCCATAGAGCACAGAAGGAAATCTCACAAGTAAATATCTTTATCAGATACCTTCATGTTGTTATAGGGGTGAGGATTCAAGGCCTGAATCAAGGCTGGGGTAGGTCAATGACATCGAATACCTCAGAAAGTTAAGAGAACGGTAATCAATAATAGAGCGCTGGAAGGGTCTTTATGGTCCGTAGAACTAAGAACAGAACAATCTGTGGGATGATGAACCTGAAATTTGATCATTACCAATCACCTTGGTCTGCTTAACCTCCTCATTGAGTTGGAGTCAGATGTGTTTTGGCTTTTGCCATCTTTTGTGTGTGGTATCTTCAAGATTAGTTTTTATATAGAGTTAACTATTTTAAGAAAAAGACACAGTGAAGTTGACAAAATGTTGAAACGCATCTGACAACAGCAAGGATAGGCAAACCGAGATGATCAGTAAGAAACAAATTTCAGATCCATCACCCTATAGACTGAAGAGTACATCTCACAATCTATCTCCTTCCACATTCCTCCATGTTGCCTGTGAGGTTGAAGAAGGTCTAGGCTGAGGTGGGTCAGTGACTTCGAGGAGGACCTCAGAAAGTTCATATACAGGAGATGGAGACCAGAGTGTCAGTCTATTGTCAGAGAAGGCACGGGTCAGCCCTGAAGCTAGTAGGGTCAAGAACAGACCAGTCTGTGGGGCAATGAACATGAAATTTGATCATTCCTGATCATTTTGGTCTGCCTATCTCACTGGGTTGGTCTGTCGTGTTTCAGGTTTCACTGTGTTGTTAACCCTCCAACGGGCGCACCTCTGAATGAAACAAAACCAGGCGCACCCGGCCTGAGAGGCCACCTACCTGTTTTACCCTCCTCCTTCCCCTCTAATCAATTTAATCCAAAACACCGTTAAGGTAGCCATTGCTTGGATTTACGGAAATCAAATACACCAAATTGAATGATAACAAACGAGTTTATTGAATATAATGAAGCTTAAACTAAAACAACCAAAATTGCGAATTTTGTACAAGTTTTCAAAAATTAATCAAACCAAGTATCATAATATTAAAAAATACTGGAAAAAATGTAGTATACAGTCTGATGTGGCGCAACCATTCTTTGCCGCTGTAGTGGGCAGAAACCTAAGCTGAATCTTCGAAATCTGCAGCTGAATAACAGGCTTGGCACAGTGGATTTACGTGGCTAAGGCAGATCGGTTGATGACAATTTTTACATTCATAATTTTTCATCCTTCTAAATCCTGTTTCAGCCATGCACATGCCACATTTGCGTCTTTTTGGAGGTAAGGTGGGCGTATTTTCAGGTTTTTCTTGTGGTAAAAACCATTTCAAGCGGGATTGTAGTCGGCATTCCACTTGTATTTAGACTTCGTCGGGCTAGTTGTCCAATCGTAAGTTGATGAGATAAAGTTTTGAGGAAGATTCTCCTTTTTAGCGGTTCCAGTTTATTCGCAATCGAAATCACTTGAGAATTTATTCCGGCTACGTTCAGACAGGCAAAGAAGATGACCATCGGCCAGCGTCTTATGTTCCGGCTCACACTGAACATTGCACACATTTGCTCAGCAGTGTCAACTCCACCTTTGGTAGTATTGTAAAACGTAATCACTTCTGCTTTTGCTGCTCTCCGGTATTTTGATCAATGGTATTAGTTTCATGGAGTGATGAAACGAGAATCACATTTTTCTCTTTTTTTGGAACGAATGAAACCAAAGTGTTACCGTTGTTGAAGCCGAACACACTGCTGTGTTGAGCCCTCCCTCTGATATTGACAAAATTGTCTGGTATCTGTATTTTATTTTTTTTAATTGTGCCAACATAAGAAAGCCTCTTTTTTTTTTCAAATCATTAACAAGATCTATGTCTGTGAACCAATTATCAGTGGTTATGTTGCGCCCTGTCTCAAAAAGGGGTTCGGCAATTCGTTTCACCACTTCACTTGGCTTGTTGCTAACAAAAAATGGCCCTTCAGGCTGTTTTCCTGCGTATATTTCCATGTTATAGGTGTATATCATTTTGGCATCAATAAGGGCAAATACCTTTGGAGGGAATGTATTGGATTTGACTGAATCTATGTATTGATTGGTATATTTTACAATCAATTCCAACATTGCTGTAGTGAACAAACATTCTCAACATTGCAATATTGTTTTTGCATTTCTAGCATCTCCCTTTACTCCTGGAAGGTGTGTAATGATATTGTGACGTTGTACCTGACGAAAAGAAGTTTGGTCTTCTTCTTGGTCCACTTTGTCTGCTTATCTTTTCCAAGAAAAAAAATCATCTTCCACCTTCTCAGATGTCCCTTCATCTTCTCGTTCCGTTTCTGAGTCCTCGTCACATTGCTCTACTTCGTCCAGAGAATCTATAGCTATGAACCAGCGCTGGATCATCAGAAGCATCATCCTCGAGGAGTTTTCTAATTTCGGCATGATGTTCATTAGGGTTGGAAAAATCATACATTTTTTTATCCATTTCAGCAGGATATCTAGAAAGTCAGGAAAACTGAATTGAAAAGTAAAATGAACGATTACAACAAAAATATCATGAAAAAACTTATCTTTTAATTTATGACGCAGTCGGCTCGACAATCCAGGATGGGTCTAGGCTAGCAGAGTGAAGGTTGACTACAGAATGAATTACGGATTCCTATGCACCACCCCTAAATAGGAAATTACTAGGAGGGGTGTCCCGTTAGGTAAAAGAATGGCAGGCAAAAAGGAATTTAGCTGGCCTCTCAGGGTTAAACTGAACATAAACATGCCAAACACACCAGGCAGACTGACCCAGCAATTATTGGCGGACAAAAATAATAGGTAATGACCAAATTTCAATTAACTTTTTAATTTAGTTTTGTGTTTTGCAAAAAAAAGATATAAACTTTTTTCAATGTTAAATTTTTAATTACCACTTTTGTGAAATCACAAAATATCCAAGCCAAGGTTTTCATGTGGAGTAGAATAATACAGCATATTGGAATGTATATTTTATATTACTTATGTTTTACATATGTAATGCATTAAATACATTTTATGGGAAAACTGAAAATAAACCTTAATGAATTTTTTTTTTTAAATACTATTTTGAGCATTTTACTATGATAGTCTTTTCAGTTGATTTGTATATGGTACATAATGTTTCTTTCCAGTTTATTATCCTTTTCAAGATAAACATACTTGTATGATTATATAACTGACACGAAGTAAAATTGCAAGCGACAAAAACGATAATACATATATAAATATTTTCACACTCACTCACTTTTGTACAAAAATTTATGCATTTTTGCATATTTCAAGGTTACGCAAGGAACAGAGCCATTAGTCATGTCCAATCTTGAAAACTGAACTCCTACGCAGTCGGGTTTTCAGTCATGAGTTTGATATCCGCTTCCATCATATCCCGTACTAATTCCTATAGAAAAATTACAAAAGTTACACATTGAAATTATTTAAGAGCAAGACATGAGTAGCTTTTATTAACATACATAGAATTATTAATAATTTATGAGAATAATACATCTTTCAAACTTTAGATAAATGTTTGGTAGAAATTAGAAAAATAAAACAAGGGGATTGAAGAAAGCAGGCTGACAAATTATTTAAAAAAAACAGGAGAGCCCTCACACCCTTTGTACTAGAACAGCAAATTGTTACACCTTAAAGCATGATAAAAATAGAACTGAGCGAATGAAAAAAAGAAATGAACACAAGATGAACTCACCAGGTGAAAAACTATCAAATACGTTTCTTAAAATCTCAACCAGGAAAACAAAAATGTACCCTTCTCTCAGCAGGCAGAAATTAAGGAAAATAATACAGTGTTCATTTATTTACCACCTTTAAAAAATGGGAAAAATTGAGACTGCCCAAATTTGCCATGAAACAGCAGAGACATCGGTCTTATGTAACTTCAAAGTCTTAGTCCCAAACATCCACTTCTTAAAGATGACACTAACGTGTAGGCAAATATGCAAGGAGGAATCCCAGGTGGAAGTGTACTTATATAGTTGTGCACTTTCTGAGATATGGAAATAAAGAAACGTCAATTTCACATTAGATCTCATAGGTCACAGTGGAAGAAAGGTTAACTGTAGTCACAAGTTTGGGTGGTTAGAAAAAAAGTTGGGTGAATTAAAGTAGCAAATACCATTTTCAACTTCTCTAAATGTTTATTGAATTCATTTTCCACCCTGTCTATCAATTTTTGATTTGTTTAATCCAATCACCTTTTAAATTGGTATTTTTGACATTATTTTAATAAAATTTATTAGGAATATTTGGAAAATTTTAGTATTATTGAGCCATTAAGAAGAAGGCAATTTTCTGCCAATAAAATCTGGACAGTTTATCACCAAATTGAAGGGAATAAAATTAATTATATAAAATCCAACAAAATTAATGAAAAAGCTAATGTTTATTTGCACACTTTTAATCAAGGTTTTAACTGATTTCACTTGTTGAATTTGTCTTTATCGAGGATCAAGGTTCAAGTCTGTGGTATTCGACCTGAAAAACTTAAAAAGCCTGTCATCGGTCGGTATGATATTGGGTTCTTCATGAGCTTAGTGAACGAAACCTTATGGACTTCTTCTTCTGTTACAATTCTTTAATGGGAAAAAAAAATCCATTTTGAAGTGAATTGTGACTTGACTACAGCATAAACCAGTTTGCACTCAAGGAGATTATGTTCAGCAATGGTGGAATTTGAAGGGTCCGGTACCATTTCCAACCCAATTAAATCGACTGTAAGTAGCTATTTAGGAAAAATGCACAGAGCCAGCACAAAAAGAAAGGTGGCATTCTATCATGTCAATCCTAAAGTTACTTTCCAGATTTGACAGCAATTACTGAGCTTTAGTTGGGAGCTTTTACCACATACACCTTTCGCCTGACATCACACCATCTGACTACTGAAAATTTTGTAAGCTACAAAAGAAGAAATAAAAAAAGACATTCTGGTGTTCTCCAGCAAATAAGCAGTGATTTTTGGAAGAAAGATAATATGGATCATACTAACCAATAGCAAATAGTTACTGTTAAAGCAAAAATGATATATTAATAAATTAATTTAATTACAGTTGATGAATTTGTCATTTTATCATAATTTTCCTCATGAACTTTTAATAAACCATTGAATGGTGAAATGTAATTGAAAATATTTTTTTAAAAATTTAAAATAAATTACAATATTGATTATAAATCACTACAAAAATATTTAAGTAAATAATATCATACCTTGAAGGTAACTTTCGGAGCCCATCCAAATGCGCTATTTGCCTTTGATGCATCACCGAGCAATGTGTCCTTCAAAAACACAACATTCCATTTGTATTTAATTTTTAAACATTAGCATAAATTCAATACTTACGACTTCCGTCGGCCTGAAATATTTCGGGTTCACCCTTACCCTGACGATCCCCGTGTGTTTCTCTTTTCCGACTTCGTCAAGCCCCGAGCCTTCCCAAATAATTTCCGTTCCTATGTGGAGGAAAGCGGCTTCGACAAAATCCTTTACACTGTATGCTTGCCCTGTTGCGATCACAAAATCATCCGGTACTTTTTGTTGAAGCATCATCCACATTGCCTTGAATAGTATTTCCCTTTATTGCTCGTTTAACTTATTAGTATTAAAAAATAACCAAAAGAATTATTCAAACCCACATCAAAACTGTATTAACTAGTTAATTTATAATGCAGTTTTAATTGTATTTTTATTATTTTGCACCTAATAAAAATTGCATACCTCTACATAGTCTCTTGCATGGCCCCAGTCTCTTTTTGAATCCAAGTTTCCCAATTCCATACAGTCCAGCAGCCCTAGATATATTTTAGCTACTGATCTTGTTATTTTCCTCGTCACGAAGTTTTCACCCCTCCTTGGGCTTTCATGGTTAAATAAAATACCATTGCAGGCAAACATTCCATATGCTTCTCTGTAATTAACCACCATCCAATAAGCATACAACTTAGCGCAAGCTGAAATTTAAAAAATATAATTTTAATTTTCTCTGACATTTAATATTATTTATTTAATGGTAAGATGTTGGTTTAATGCATCTAGTAAGGTAAAGCTTTTATTTTTCTCTGAAGATCAATCTTGAGAGAATAATCTGCAAAACATTTGGCTATAAATACCATATGGAGATCTAGGGTAAAAAGGGGTTGTCTCTTTTTGCGGGATTTCCATTACTTTTCCAAACATTTCCGACGTGGATGCTTGATAAAATTTGACATTTTTCTCCAGACCGCATGTCCTTATGGCATCAAGTAGTCTCAGCGTTCCGACAGCGTCCACTTCTGCTGTGTATTCGCTTAAGTCAAAGGATACCTTTTCTCAAAAACAACAGAAACACACGACTTTAAATCAATGCAAAATGATTACTCGATACTGAATAGCGCATGCTCAAAATTCAATCTTACTTTAACATGGCTCTGTGCTGCCAAATTGTATATTTCATTTGGTTTCACTTTGTTTATAATTTTGACTAAACAACTGCTATCTGTCAAGTCGCCGTAATGTAATTCAATCCGACCACCTTTGTGCGTGGTCGGATTTGAATACAAATGTTGAATCCTGCCTGTATTAAATGAACTAGACCTCCTAATAATTCCATGAACGAGGTATCCTTTCCCCATCAGAAATTCTGCTAAGTAAGATCCATCCTACAAACAAAATAATCTCGTTTCATACAATATTAAATCATAGATAATGATTGATACCAAAAAAAAGTATAAATATTTTATTAAATAACAAAATTGAGATAGAACTAGAGTGAAACTAACAAGGGGACAGTTTATTATTATTAGTGCAATTCTGAAACATATTCAACAGTAATCATTGTCAGATTTGAGATTCTAGCATTATAAAACTTTTAAGAACCAACTTTTGTGGAAATTGATGTAAATTAATATTTTGGCTGATAATTTTGAAGACCTTCTAGCTCTAACATTATTTTTCTCAAAAGCTAGTGGTCCGATTTTCATAGATGATAACTAGTTTTAACGAAATTGTCAAGTGCATTTTACAACTGTTTCAAACATTAAAATTGGACTATATACCATTTAAAAACAAGGTTAATTTCTAAAAAAAATTTAAAATTTTCTTATAGAAATATTTTGTAAATTTTAATGGTACATGTCCTTAAAAAGCTACGTTTCTCATCCTTCAAATTGTCTGTTTGACAGTAAAATCCTTTTAAAGTTTTTGAATTTTAGCCATTTCAATCAGATATTCTGATAACTTCTCAAAGATTGGAAAAATTTTAGGGGGGTCAAAAAATTGATATATTTAAATTCAAACAAAAGTTTACATATCAGTTTAATAAGTGACCTAATTTACTTGAAAAATATTTGGCTTTTAGAATTTTTTTGGTTACTGATAAACTTCAACAGTTTTTAATATAACTTAATTGCAACATACATAAAAATGCTAAAAATTACATATTCACGTAGTTAATTTAAGCAAATAGAAAGACAAAATAAAAAAGGCAAAGCCAACCTATTCACAAGGAGTAGTATGTCTGATAAATGTGTCTTAAAATTAGGAATGAAGAATCACCAAAAATGTTTGGTCAAATCAGTGACCCCCTGTTAAATGTTTTTGAATTTTAGCCATTTCAATCAGATATTCTGATAACAACTTCTCAAAATTTGGAAAAATTTTAGGGGGTCAAAAAGCAGGTACAAAGTCATCCCCTTGTAAGACAGAAACTGTTAGGACTTCATGGAATAGCACAGAGATCAGAACATATCCTATGTGATTGTGATCCATAGTCTTAATAGAAAAGAGAAGAAGCACCTTACTTGTGTGCTAATCCACGGAGTCCTGACGGTTTGTCAAAAATGATCATTTTGGTCCATCATGCACATCTAAGCATTTCACCACCACAATTTATCACTTTTATGTAAAAACGACTGACAAAACCCACCACTAAAGATGGTAAAATGTTGAAACGTCTGACACACCAAAACCGCAAGGATGGGCAGACCAAGACAATCAAACATGATAAAATAAAAAAGAAAAGTTGATTCCTCATAGAAATCAAGAGAAAATTTCACACCCTAGAAAAATGCTCCAATTCCTAAAGAAGTATTTCCACGATATGGATGTATAAGTCTTCTGAATTCACAATTCAAATGTGGTATAAAAATTGCTCAGATTTGATTAGGTTTCAGTGTAAACCATCGGAAAACCAAGAAATAACTAAAAAATCAATCCAAGGCCTTGAATTTTGATTACAGACTTTGATTATTCAGTTTTACATGATTTCATTCAAGCTGGATGTAAAGCACTCCTGCAAGACAGGACTTTCTTTACTTAATTTTTGCAAGCTCTGGTCATCCTGGTCCACCTATTCTAGCTGGGTTTGTCAGATGTGGGTGCTTGCTTTTCCCCCGTCAGTACTGAGTGCTCTAAATTTGTATAAAGATGCCTAAAATCAACCATGTAGGTCTAGAGAAAATATTGTGCGATAATATTCTTTGTTGTTTTATTTTTCCATGCTATCTGTGGAGTAAAGATCCTGATTTTGGTCATTACCCGATCTGCTTATCCTGGCTGGGTTTGTCTGTCAGACATAATTCGGCATTTCACAGTGGTGGATTTTGTCAGTTGTGTTGAAATATAACAAAACAGCATAGGCAGACCACAATGATCATAAAGACATTTTCTAGATGCCACTTATATTCTCTTCTATCAATGATTCAGTGAGAACTGAAGATGGCAAGAAGAATACTGAAACTTGTATAATAAACCAAACCAGCAAGAATATGAGCAGCAACCAGCAAACAAAAATGATCAGTAATGACCAAATTGTAATATTCATAGAAATGATGAATGATGGAGTGAGTGCGGTGATCAATCCTTTTTTAAAAAAGATAGTTCCTACTCACAGAAAGTAAATTTCGGCACAAAGTGGGGATAATGGAGACCCCATTGGTACTCTTTCATTTTGTAAAATTTATTATTGAATTTACAATAATTAGATAGTACGCATGTATTTAAGAGATCTATTGTATCATTTTTTGCAATATACAATTTTCTTACTGTGAGTAGGAACTATCTTTTTTTTAAAAGGATTGTAATATTCATTGTTTTTCCCATGAAGAAGAGCCAAGAAAAGTTACAATTATAGATCTAGTTAGGTTGCAGTGGAAGGTTTATCACCGGGGACAGGATAAACAAAAAGTGAATATTCGAGGCCAATTTTCCTCTCAAGCATTCACAAACTCATATCCATTATTTACATACAGCCTGATGCCTGAATATTTTGTGATATTGTCACATCGCATGTGAATCCTGGACATCTTGACCCAGGATTTAGGCCCTCGACTGCCTTGTCTGAAAGAGGTCTCGTCCCATGAGTCATCATCAGAAGAGGGCCTACACTTACAAGAGCTACAATCCAACCTGTTCTTCCCACACATGAAGACAGTACACCCCTTAAACTTGACTGTTCTATTAAGGCATTTCTTTCATAAAAGAGCTGGTCTACCTATCGAGGGAGATATCCCAGGGCATATATGATAGATCTGTGCTACAATATGTGGTAAGCGATATCGTATGTTTTCAGTATTGTCCAGATTTCAAAACATTTCATTTACTGCAAAGCCTGGCGAGAGATACATATCACCTCTCACCCTGATGTACGTTGCTTAACTTCCTATCTTCGTCATTCATTTTTTCCTCAAAGCTTGAAAGAACCCTGCGAATAATCAACCCTGGCGACTCCAAACTGGCTCCAACTTTTCTAAATCACTGTTTCTACCAACATAAGTTTTGTTAAATACAATTTAAAAGTGTACAACGCTAATTCAAAAGCAGCAGTAGTTAAATAAAAATATCGTGTAGAATTTTGCCCAGTATCAGTATGGTAGGAAGGCTAACTACGCTTAGTATAAACACATCATCTAACCCTTTAAATACATAACTAAAACAAGAACAACTTTTTATTAATACGTTGCTTGCATAATGTCACATGCATAAACATAGCAGACAATGACAATACCTGCCCTGTAATACCGGTGATAAGAGCGACAGGTAGTGTTTCGTCATGACCCATCTCCTGTGAGATTTCTGTGCGAAATTTGTATATGTAGGGCTAAAAGCCTGTTAGGAGGGTGTATATTTATCTGTAAGATTACACGCCTTTGTATTGTCTGTGTTGGTTTTATCTAATTCGCTATTAGCTTGGATAAAACTCGGTCAACCAACGACGACAGATTGATGCCAGATATCGATGTAGACACTTGTGATGTCTTGATATTCAGCTTGTAATCGTCTGTTTTGTCTACTTTCCGACAAATAAATGACCAGAAAGCTCTTAAACGGTATAGTTCGTAGACTGGGCATAAATGTCTCCATGTCAAAAGAAAAGAAAAGATATGATACTAGATTTTATGATTAGACCAGATCGATTCTTATCATCAAAAATTAATAAACTTGAACACTTGTTAAACGCTTCTTAGTTTTTACTTTTTTTCTTTAGTTACAACCGGGCAAAAGTCTATCATTACCCTACTTAACTTTTAAAACCTAAAGTTTATTTAAGTTAGTTTTATAACGTGTAAGTATATACTTAGTAAATAAAGCATTTTTGCATGTTTTGATCCTCTAATTTAATATTGTTTATAAGTTTACAAATGACAGCATACTCGTTGAAGTGATCAAGCTGCATGCAAATATTCAAAAAGACTTGAATGAGTACGTTAAAATTATGCAATATCTTGAATTAAATTTTGTTCATTCGTCTATGACCAGCTAGGTACATGTTGACGTTACCTATCATTTCGACCTGACTATCCCTGCTGGGTTGGTCTGTCAGACGCGATTTAGCATTTTGGTGCGTTTTGCCTGTTGTGTAGAAGTCCAGTGCAATATAGACCAAAACAGCATAATAGGATCAGAATGATCAGAAAGGACAAAACTACTTTTCAAGATGCCACTTCTCTTCACTGTCCAGGCTACCCTTCACACTGCACAGTGCATGGTGAAATAACTCTGACAGACCCATCGAGAATAGACAGACCTAGACGTTCTTCAGTGGGTCTGTGTGGTTTCACTGGTCAAGTCTCTTTTGTAAGGTTGTGATAGGCGCATACTGCAAACACACTGAACATGGCAAAATGCTAAAACGTCTGACATCACGTCCAGGCCATCTTTGGTGTGACTGTGTGGTGTCTCATGAATGGTGAGGTGCATGACTGCAGACACGGTGACTATATTAAAACAAGTCTTATAGACCAATCCATAGAGGATAGATAGGCTGCCTTCTTCAAGTATGGTTTTTCTAAAGTTATATCTTTTCATAAGTTCGTGAGTGGTGAGGTACACACTGGCTCAGACACACTGAAGATAGGTAGATAGTCTGTGTGTTTTCTCTTAACTTGTTTTTTTTTTTTTCATAAGGTCTTGAGTGAGGTGTATGTCTGTAGACACGTTAAAGATAGCTAAATGCTGAAAAATCCCAGGCAGACCAACACCCTAAATCTCGTGATATTTATTAATCCCCAAGATCTTAAAAGAAAACTTGTTTTGGCTATTTGATGGATAGAGGATGACAAAATGCACATAATAGACTAAACCAAAGAGGATAAACAGACTAACATGTTCATCGCCTTCAGCAGCCCATGAAGAATCTTGTTATTATAGAAATGCTTTTTTAGTTTTAATTACATAAAATAAAGTAGATCTTTATACCAATGACTTGACCGTTTTAATGTTATTATAAAACATATATTTGTTTGGCCTGTAAATTATAATGCACCCTGAATATATTATAGAATATTATAATGTATATATTCATTTTTATAGTGGATGGCATCTTGTACTGAGAAGCAAAGTGATATTGAAATTGTACTCTTCACTCTTGAAACACCATGGCATCCAGACACGCTATTCCATTCATGAGAAAAGTATACCCATTTGTGTAATTATCTTTTAGAATAGCCAAAAATTATTATTTGTGCATTAATTACATTGTGGATTATTTTTTATTTTAGATCACCACTACTCAGGACATGATCGATACAAATTTGGTCAGAGTGAAAGAACTAGAAACAGCACTGAAAAACAAACAGCCCAGTGAGCACAAGTAATGCTAACACAAAAAGCTTACCACTTACATATATGATTTAATAATGTGTTTTGTTTTTAGGAAAAAACTCCAAGCTGAATTGGCCGAAATAAGGGAAGAGATATTGAAAAAAGAAACAGAACTTAAACAGTGCTACGGAGAAAATAGGAAAACGTTTATGGTCGCAGTTCTAGTGATGTTTTTCAGCTTTCTCATTTACGTCGTTTATATCATGATTGTGGGTCCAAATGCAAATGTTAAACCGATTAGTTTAAATTTTTAAGGACTGTCACTACAAAGTCATACTGTTGTATAATTATTTAAGTTTTTATAAATATAACCTTGTGTTGGTTGTCTACGACCTTAAACTTTGTTTTGAGTAGTAAAATACTAATTTTACTAATTTTTAAGTAGAATAACCCTCCCTGCTCTGACCCAAGTGGTTGAATGTTTTATTTAAATTGAAAATATATAATATAATTAAAATATAATGATATGATAAATTAATAATAAAATTATTTTTATAAAAGTAACGATCTTAATAATTATAAATAAATAAATTATTGAATATGAAGGAAAGGTAGTTAAGCTAGTGAGTGACTAGAGGATAAGTTTTAAGAAATTTCTGAGCTGGTCGAGACATTTCAATGGGAAATCATAAAAGATATCCATTTTGCTGGATCCTATCCACGTAAGGAATTAGCCCTAATAATTTAAACTAGGTTAAAGTGAGATTCCTTGGAGTAGTGACAGATGAATAATAATTTGTTTGCTCCACTGGCTAGTAGGTTAATATGGTGAAATAAAAATTGGTCAAAGTGAATACTTTTGATTATTTTTACTCTACTTAATAAAGTATTGTATTTAGATGGGGGGGTAGATTTAAGACTGCTAAAAGAAATAATGTTGCATTTTTTAATGTTGAATGTCATACAATTAGTTGTTGCACCACTTTTCAAGGTTAATTAATTTGGGCTGTAAATAAACAGTCAGATTCAGAATAAATTCTGTGGTATATTTTGAGGTCTGCGAATAGGAGAAAATGTGTGTCATTAGGAGCAGATGCAATATCATTAATGAATATGATAATAGAAAGGGGCCTAAGTGAGATCCCTGGGGGACTCCAGAGATGCAAGAAAAGGAAAAGAATTATAGGATTTTAATTTAACATATTGTTTTCTATTGGTGAGGTAGGAAGAGAACCAACGTAAAAGGTGCCATAGAAAATGCCATGAGTGATTAACTGTCAAATGCCTTGAAAAAGTCAGTGTATATTGCATTGACTTGACACTTTTCGGCAAAGGAATTTAAAATAAAGTCCTAGAAAAAAGAGGAGGTTTGTAATTGAGGATTTAACTTTGGTGAAGCATGTACCAAAATTGAGAAATTTATTAAAGATAAGATAAAAAGAGTAGGAAAGTTCATCACTGCAGTAGCGTAGTAGGTAGAGAGGAGGGAATTAGATCTGGTCCAGGCCCTTTGGCAACATTAAGAAATTTAAGTATGGTAAGAAGTAAATAATGATACTAGAGAATGAAGCAGGGGTAGGATGATGATGATGACCCCTAGGAAGCGGGGTTTGTTCTCCTCAGGCACTGCACCCTTCTGGCTTATTGTACCACCCAAGTTCAGTGCAATTGACTCTACTCTTCTTTTTCCTTAGCCTTTGTTTTCCTTTGGCTTATCCATGTGATTCCTACAAGTATGAGGGATCTAAAAGCCCGCAATATATGAGTCCTTTTTCCAGTAAAGTTGATTACTCAAGGTGGTCACCTGGTACCCTTGAGGCTCCATTGTTGGTAGTTACCCCCATATCATCCATCGATCAGCACAGATCGTACAACAGGTTAGGTTGAGAGATTAGGAATGGGTTTGGTAGTAGAGGAATAAGGTGTAGGGTTTAGGAGAAAAGTCCAGCTCCTGTTCCTCTTTCCCCTCTTTCCGTCTGTTTGATTAAGAGGTACACCCATGAAGGTGGAAAGTCGGAGATGAGTACTAGAGGTTATTAGAAATGCATAGTACTATTCGTACAGGAGTAGAGCAAAGAGTTATGTCAGTACTAGCATTATTTTTCTAATTTTCAATGTTAGAAGTATCGACCACTTTTTCACACGTGAACACAGATCACAGATGGTCTTGAAGAAAAATCAAATTCAGTTGCTACTGCCAAGCTTTCAACCTATTTAAAATCATCATCAGGGCAAAACAACCTTAAATATCTCTACAGATTGACATATTTAAATTTTTTAGGCGATCTCAAATTTCCTTGAAGACCGACTCAGTCTTAACATTGGCAAAGACTAGAACGATTGTTGGATGATATGAACTGAAACTGAATGTAACTATCAAACTATAGGTTTATCACCCCACAGACCCAGGAGGACATCACACAAAGCATTATATAACAGGCAATTTAACTAGCTTAACTGTAATTACTTCCAGATCTAGGGACATTATTTTGTTAAACTACAACAGATTCAAACAAAGTAGCTTCTTTTATATAGGAATATTGAATTATACTATCATGTAATTGTATTGGTGTAATTTTGATACATAGCTAAAATTTTGTACAATCAAATGAGGTGGTTTATTTTATAATTAGATATTTATAAGCGTTATATTTAGAAGAAAAAAAAATATGACTACTTTACTTAGCCATAAAGTAGGTTTATATTTTTCCTTCATGAGCTTGGACTTTAAGGAACGATGCTACGTTAGTTACTAAAGATTCCGTTCTTAGTATATTTTCTCAAAATTTCAATTTGATGATTATTTATAATCTAATTATGCTAATATTTACAGATTCGATGTACTTTTAATTTAAAATTATGTTAGGCAACGTGTGTTTGTGAGCCGCACCTATGCGCAAACCTACAGTTATATCTATCTGTATACAGAAGGCATCGATCAACGCTGATCACGGTTCGCGTGTTTATGTTTGTGCCGGCCTGGCTTTGTTTAATCGCATAAAAATTTAATTATAGCTGAGACTAGGTTTTTATCCAAGACAAAATGAAGCTAGTTAAGTATGTCCGATGTTTCTTTACTTGATGGTAGTTAAATTATATCTGTTTGAGCTGTACTTAGTTAGGCTTACAGACACTCATTTTTTTACTGTATCCTGTACCACAACTTCTGCAACAAATTTAAAACACAATTTATACACTAGTTATATTATTATTGTCAAACTTGATCAATTATGAAATATTTTTATTAGTCAAAGTTGGTGTTTTACCCTGAATGATATGCTAGAGAATGATGCCTTGTCAATTATTTAAAAAAGTCTTAAGATTATGCATTTCTTAGAGTTATATTTTTATCATGTTGAACTGGCACTGGGTCACTTGGATCCGTCTTCACTCACGGGTTTGTTGAAATACTCAAATGCGTTTCGGCATTGTGCCATCTTCAGTGAGGAACTGTCTCCATAAGACACAGTGCCAATACACCAAGAGTTCATTAACTCACAAGCACCCCGCATCAGCAATATTTTCATATGAACATTGTTTAAATTAAAATATCATTATTCCAGGTTTTTAATGAAGCTAAGCCATGAAACGGTGACGATTGAGTTGAAAAATGGTACTCAGGTCCATGGTACCATCACAGGTAATTATTTCAACTGAGTATAAAGATGGTCATAAGTTAATCGAGTTATTTTTATTAATTATTTTAAAGGTGTCGATGTCGCTATGAACACACATTTAAAAGCTGTGAAAATGACCATAAAAAACAGAGATCCTGTCCAATTGGATACGCTGAGCATACGTGGAAATAATATTAGATATTACATTCTACCTGATTCTCTCCCATTGGAGACTTTACTCATTGACGATACTCCGAAGGCGAAATCTAAAAAGAAAGACGCTGCAAGAGGAGGTTTGATTTTGTTTGTTTGTAATTGTTTAGTTCTTTTCTTAACAACTTGCATTACAGGCGGTGCGCCGAGAGGCAGGGGAAGAGGTCGTGGTGGAAGAGGACGAGGAAGGGGCAGAGGACGAGCTAGGCGTTAAATGTTTATACCTTCACTTCTTTTTTCCATTACTTACTACTTTTCATTTACCATTTAATTACATAATGATTTTAAAATAGGAATTATAATTTTTTTTAAGCATCCAAGACTTCTTTATCTTTACCTCTTCAGTAATGATTTTTGTTATTACTTCAACTAAACATCATTAAATAATAATAAAGTGAGTGGTGATTAGTGACCGTTAATCGATAATTATTCAGAAATCGTGAGATGTGGTCTGATGTGATGTAGGTTTCAGAAAAACATTTTCTTTATCATGCCAATGTTTCGATCTTTATTGAGATCATCTTCAGGGCTCAAAGTGTTTGTCTTCTGTGTAATTGTGCCATTCTTGCGTGTCGTGTTGCATTGTGGGCACTCTCAACACGACACGCAAGAATGGCACAATTACACAGAAGACAAACACTTTGAGCCCAGAAGATGATCTCAATAAAGATCGAAACGTTGGCACGATAAAGAAAATGTTTTTCTGAAACCTACATCACACCAGACCGCATCTCACGATTTCTGAATAATAATAATAAGGGTTAAACATTTCATCAGACAACCTTAAAAATTATTGAACTGGAATTCAGATTTTTTCCTCATCGCTGTGACATATGAAGAAGCTGGTCAACCTGAACTGCTCAGATCTGATTTACGAATACCAAGAAGGATTTAAATGCCTTGAAAATAAAGTTAGATCAGACCACTAGGGTAAACTTGCAGACGAATAAGTTTTTCGCATAATTTTGTAATTTGATCCCCGAGTACTGAAGAAGCGTGTTTCAGCTATCATCAGTAGGTCGCTCAGATTGCATAAGTGTATATAACTTCTAAAAATGCTGTTCAGGATTAGCCAAATTTTCTTGCCCAAGGGGAAAAAATACTCAAGCGTGGAATTTCAAAGGAGTGAATTATTTAGAAATTAGGTAATTCATTTAGAACTACAAGTAAGTTAAAAAAAAAAAAAAAACCAACTGTGTATCTACAGCATGGACAGACGTTTGTCAATTTCACCTCAAAAATATACCTAAGTCTAATTGCTTCATTGGGGATTTGATTTTTTGCAGGTCTGATATCTTGATTGTACATCGTAGGTAGTTAGGTCAACTTTTTGGGTGATGAATCTGTAATTTGGTTGTAATCAATTACTTTTGGTCTGGACCCTGTTGGACCAACCCAGCAAGATAAATAGACCAAAATGATCAGGAACAACCAAATTACAGACTCATGGTACTGGAGTGGAATTCAATGCTGGTACAAGATGGTTATATTTTGAAGATTATTGTTACTAGCATTTTTATTTAAAAAAAGAATATATAGGAAATAAAAATACTTTATTAAAAACTCGTGGTCCATATGTCAAATCCATATTGATTCGTTTGTGAAGTACCAATGAAACTAATTTTTCAGTAAAAAGTGATATATTTATTTATTTGTTTATAAAAATGATTCATTGTAGATCTAGAGAATGTATGTTTGTTTCAAGTGTCATCTGATAATCATTTTCCTTTTTTTCATCTACCTCTGTATGAACAATTAAAAAAAAATTAATATGTTTACAAAAATTAATTAATCAATACTAAATCACCTGAACGGTATCCAGTCTTTAGGATGAATACATGGACTAAAAAATGAATAATTGTAAAAGCAGTTGCGCTCAGTCCAAAAATCCAAAATGTCGTTATTCCACCTAGCGTTTGAATCATATAACCACCAATAAAACTGCCTAACGAAACTCCTGGAAATTTCACCATATAAAATTGTTATATTTAAACGTTGGTATTTAATTTACCCAGAGCGTCGTAAAGTGCGGCGACTAAATTTTGCATCGTCGCTTCTGCACCAGGTGGAGCGATCATGTTCGCATAAGTTGTCATTGTCGCATAAAATATACCGAATGTAATTCCATTGAGCATTTCCACTGGTAGCGTCCACCAAGGGTTTGTCAAATAAGAATATACAATAAATCTCACTGCAAATGCTGCCAAAACTAGTGTCATCGAGTTGTTGTGGCCTAATTTTTTAATAAGCCAACCTAAAATAATAAAATCATTAGTAATAAAAACTATAGCATACAGAAGTGCATTATAATGCTTTCAAATGATAATAGAACTTCCAACTCTACTACAAATAATATTTCTTTTCATTCTTTCAATAAAAGAAAAATAATACTATTTAACAGAATGTACAAACATATTCAGATTTACACTTAACAATTCGTAAAACAGATAATTTAGCTAATAACAATAAACAAATTTGAAATCATCTATCCTGTCTTTTATACTTGTTACATAGCCATACTTAATAAATCTGTTTTTACTATTGCACTGAATCTAATTTTTTTTTTCAGGCCTCAGAATATGCCAAAGTTACTCATTCTACAAAACAAGCCAAAATATGATCAGTACGATTTATGTAATCAAGCTACATAATAATCTTAATGTAATAAATTCTTACTGGTTCTATTCTAAAAGGCAAAGTGGAACTATGTTTTTTAGGGTATAAACATCAGAAATTAATTTAAGAAAGAGTAGGACCTAGGACATAACCCTGCAGGACACCAGACTAGGTGAAACTGGTTCAACTGACAAATTTATGGAGTTATTTACATAATGAATTTGCAGGTAACTGCAAGGGTTTATGAAAGGAAAAAAATTGCTATAAAATTAGAAATGCCAATATCAAAGTAATTAGGTTTTTCAATGTAACACAAAAAGTTTAGAATGCATTAAATTTAAATTGAAAATTTACAATCACTGAACTGCCTGAAATATTATTTCTTATTGAAATTATAAATTTAAACAGTTCCTCTGAGTTATATTACAAAAAATATTTGATTAGAAAAACATACTTGATATAAAAAAGAAAGGAATTTCGCCAAAATAACAATGGAACGTTAATGTAAGTCCTTCTAACGTCTTAATATAAGTCATATCTCCGTAACCATTATTGACAGCTATTTCTTCTAAAAACCTAGACAAAGAAAAATGTCGATTGAATTGTATTTTAATAATAAAACAGGAACAAATGCCTTACCAGAATAAAAAGTTCCATATCATAGCTGTATATATACCGTTTAAAGTGCACCAAAACATAAATACTATAATGTGACGGTTCTTCAACACTTTGCAGACATTTTTAAATACACTGGATGAAGGGCCTGATTTAGTACTGTACTGAAATAGAAAATAAGGCATGTAGGACATTTGTTTTGGAAGTGTTTGAAGATTTGCTCTCAGCTTAATCGTCCACAAACATCCTGTCTAAAGAACACTATGGCAAGTTATTTTTCAAAATTATAATATTTGTTTATATATTAATAAAAAATATATAGTTAAATAATTTTTAACACTTACTTTTAATTTTGTTGAGATTAAAAAGTTAAAAATTGTAAAAGCAACTAAAAAGTAGTACGCTGAAGTGTAGACCTTTTTTTCACTACCCTTGCTGAATTTATCAACTGTTAAGCCAGAAATAAATGACAGAGAGCCCCATCCTGCTGCTCCCCATAGCCTCTGTAAGCCAAAGTTATTCGGTTTGTCTTCTGTAAATAAAATAAATCATGAGCATAGTAGGAAAGTGCATGTATATTAATTATTTACCCAATAGGCCGAAGCATATAGTGTCACCGATACTTGTCAGTACCGCAGTAGCTATCTTGGCAGTAGCTATAAGAATGAGCAACAGCCAAAATTGGTAATAATAGATGACTTCTTCATCAGGGACTGAAGACTCTTTCATGATGTTGTTGAGCAAAGGAATCGCACAGCCAATATTACAATGTCCAGAAGTTTTTGAAGTACATTTAGGAGTAAATTTATTTGACCCGTTAGCTGTTATTGCATCAACTTCAATAGAAATGCATTCTTTATTCTATAATTGAATTATTGAATTAATTAAACAAAAATAAAGTGTAATGAATTAAGTTTACCATGCTGAAGCTATTATTTGCAAGGAGAATCTCAAAAGGTTGTCCTTTTTCTAACATCACACCAAGATCAAATGTTTTTTCAGGACATGTCATCTAAATTGAGACAATATTGCTGTAAATTATAAAATGGCAACTCGAGTTAAAATTTCTACCTTGCAACTATTTCCTTTGAAGGAATTTGTTATCGCCAATGCCAAAGTGTCATTTCCCATTAGACGCCCTGAGCAAAGATCCAGTCTTGTAGAATTATCACAAGTAATACTAGAGGTGGCGACTGGCAAGGACGGAAGCCAGCTTGTGCTTAGGAAAAACAACCCTTGCACTATGATCAGTAAAAGAAATATAAGTTTCTGGCTTTGAAACTTGTCAGCGATAGCTCCCAACAATGGCTTTGCAGGCAGTGATAGTATAGGTATGATTGTGAAAATTGTTCCAACTATGAATGCAGAAAATCCTAAATCTTTAGCCATGACTGGTAAAAAAGGAAATATCGGAGCCAAACCTAAATAAAAATATTACAGTGTAATTTGTATATTAAAAGTGTAATTTTAAATAATATATTACCCGAGTAGAGAAAAAAATAATGCATTTTCATGGGAAGTAATTTTTTATTTAGCTTCATAATTTAACTACAACAAATTAAACAATCATTAAAACATAAACATGAAAAATAAAGTGTCTATTTTTTTTTTTTTTTTTTTTTTTTAAATCAGACGAAAGAATTGCATTTTTGTAAAAAGTCATTTTCCAGCAATTTTCATGCAATGCAATCTTAAAAGTAATTTTAAACTAAATCATATAAGTCATACTGTATTATTTTGTACAAGTGAGAGTGGAAGAGAAAGAGACAGAGGGATGCAATTATGGGTTACAATACATCAAGATAAATGAGATTATGAATTCAGCAATATAACGCAATATAATACAATATTTTCAAATTTTCTTTAGGCTCCATTATTTATATTTTTTAAAGATTTCAGTACTTTTTAATCCAATTTACAATAAATTGCTGGTAGGCCTTGAGAATCACCCACCCCGACTGTTGGTAGTCTGGGGTCAGATATCGGTCTTATCCATCCAGCCACCAAGGTTGGACCCCAGGGGCTATCAACAGCTAGGTCATTTCAGCCCCCAATGCAATCAGTCCCTAAAACCAAACCCACTCTCACTCAGTCTTAAATACATTCTTTCCTATAAATTTTTGCATCCATTCACTTGGAGTGGCACTTTCTACCCATTCACTCTCAACATACTTTAGGGAGACAAAACTATAATTACTATGTACAATCATCCCTTTTTCCTCCAGAAATCAGAACATGATCGCAGATACTTGCTGATTTTCATATCGGATAGCAATCCTACATGATCTTACATAAAGTAAGGAGGTACACCCTTCAATTAGGTGAGACACATCGCGCAACCTTTCTCTACATGCTGGACACATACAGCTTTGGCCAAAGTACGTATCTATGTGTCAACCTCGTGTGGTCTATCTTTAAAAAAGTGAGGATGACCCCTCTTATATGAGTCAGATCCTCCGAGAGCTACCTTTGACTCTTGATACGTGAGAGCTTCTCTGTCTATCCAGCCCACTGACTTTGCTGCTTTCTTCATTTTTAGCGTCAGAGGGAAGGATTGCAATAAATCTGGAGGTTTTTACTCAGAATGGAGAATTAAGTTCTTTATCTGTCTTTTCCCTCTCTATAAAAAATAATATTAAAACCTTAAGTTTAAGTTTTAAAAATTTATCTGCAGTATATGAAAAATGGATAAATATGCCAAGACATTAAGATAATTTTTGTCTTGATAAAAAACAAAACAAAAGAAAACAGCCAAGCCAAAAAGCTTAGAACAATAGTTATATTTTTCATTTAACAAATTTTGAAATACCTCTTTACTTTTTTTTTTTTTTAACCTTTGTATGAAATTGCATAAACCATGCTTGTTACAAATATACTCATTTAATACTCTATACATTAAATTCAAAACATAAGTAGTTTAAGACAAGATTATTTACCTCTTTTGAGATTACTTACTTTTTAAAATTGCCGTTCTAAAACTGGAATGTTTGGCAGTTCTTATTTGAGCAATCAGTGATGAGGACACCAATTGATCTTAATCAGTTAACAACTGAATAAAAAAAAAAGAAAGAGTGGCAAAGAAAATGATTGTAAAGAAGCAAGAATCACACAGAAATATTTTGTAAAATTAAACAACAAAAGAAAATAATAAAGCAAATAATTAAATACATTTGAATAACAAAATGCAACCGTTTACCTCACTGGAAGACGTAATATCATTAAAATTTCTCTTCTCGCAGTTTTATTTCTAGGTAAGCCTAAACCTCAGCAATTGACGTTTATTTACATAAGATTTTATCTGGTTTAACCAACAGATTATGTTTGATGTCACTTTTAAAACAATTTGTGTTGAATATTTGTAAAGAGTTTGTGCCTTTTTATATTTTTCACTGATAAAATTACTTCAATTCATTAAACGAAAGTATGTACTAATCAGATGAAATGTATATAAAAATTAAGATTAATATTTTTTTTAAAAACAATTCTAATATTGAATTTTACATTATTAATGTAGATTAGATTTTTAAAAAAATCTAGCCTAAAAATAATTTCTTATCATCCAACTTTCCTATCAACTCCTAGTATGGTGCATGAGTCAAGCTAGAAAACAGACAACGGCATTATGTAAGAAACGTCAACATTTTCATAACCTATGCTAGGAAGCAAATCAAGAATTACACAACTGTAAAACATTATATATATATAAACATGTACCAAAATTTACCTAGATACAAGAGTTTAAGAAAGGGCAGTAAGTCTAAGTATGGGGCCACAGTAGCCAAGTGGTTAAGGCGTCAAACTCTCGGCTGGTAGATCCCTCGGTCGTGGGTTCGATCCCCACCGTCGCCTCTCTCTGGTCTTTTTTACTGATGCCTAAGGGGACCGGTGGCCGCAATTGAAAGAAATTGACACAGCACTCATTGACCCTGAATTTAGTCCCAACCCCCTTCAAACATGAGTTTCTTCGAAGGAAGAACACCAGCACACCGGAGTAAAAAAAAAGTCTAAGTAAATAAATTATGCATTTTTCCCGATGATATTCTGAAAATATGTCACTAAAGAAAAAAACCTACTTAATAGTTAATGTCATTATAGGTTTAATAGGTCATTACTGTTTAAAAAAAAAAAAAAGCGCATAAGTTGTACGTATTTATACAGAAATCGTGAGATGCGGTCTGGTGTGATGTAGGTTTCAGAAAAACATTTTCTTTATCGTGCCAACGTTTTGATCTTCATTGAGATCATCTTCAGGGCTCAAAGTGTTTGTCTTCTGTGTAATTGTGCCATTCTTACACGTCACACCAGACCGCATCTCACGATTTCTGAATAATTATCGATTAATGGTCACTAATCACCACACACATTGTATGTATTGTTTACAGATTTTTCTGCCTCCTTTGACTGTGTTAATAGGAACTCGTTATTTTTTAAACTATACAATATAGGCCTCTCAACGAAAATTGTTTAGTCTATTAGGTCGCTCCTCTCTGGTACTCTCATTGAGTCTTATGCAAGGATGGACTAAGGAAAGAATTTGACATGATGCTGGTGTAAAGCATATATTATTGAATCCATTGTTTACAATTTCTTTAAACGAACTGGAGGAATTTTTATTAACAAAATAATAACTGGGATCTCAATAAAAATTAAAATACTAGCTTATGCGGATGATATCATGCTTACTGATTCATCTCCCAGGGAATGCAATTGAAGATAAATGCATTAGCCAAATATTGTAAAATGAGTAATGAAAAGTGGCATTTTAAAGAGCACAGAAGAGGTAGTAAAAACCTACACATACATAAGTGTTATGTTGACTTCTAAATTTCATTTGAAAATCCTCTAGAAGAGAAAGTGAACAAAGCAATTTGAAGCCCACTTTTTTTTTTTTAATAACCAATAATATCGTTTCCCTCTAAAATGACACTTTTTCGAACAATACACCAGACATTGGTATATCATGGGGCCCAGGTTTGGGGTGGAATTTAAAACAATGAATTAGTAATATATAAAAATGTAGGATCTTTTCAGAATTGTATCGGATAAAGAAACCGTAGACTTTTTCGTTTTTTAAACCCGCTCTTTATTTTCTATACATAAGCACTTGTAACCAATAACCTTCTGAGAAGTGACCAATAGATTTGTGTCAGTCTGACGTCACCTTGGCGCAACTTTCAAATTTATTCTCCTACAAAAAAAAAATTTAAACATTGTTTAGGCTTCCTCATTGGCCTCAGCCATCTTATATCTCAAGACACAATTAGAATATATTCATTCTTATATTCTATAGGACCATCTTGTTTGTATGGTAAAAGTTCTAAACATGTCAGAGAATCGACTAAAGTCATTTCTTTGGAAACAATAAAAAAATATGCAGAATGGTGTAACAGATATTAAACAAATCATTAAAATAGTTCATATGAGTTTTAACACTATCATTTTAAATTAACTACTCACGATCTTTCATGAAATAGTAGAGCTTTTACCTATGCACTACAAAAATATACGTTGCAATAAAATTAAAGAAAATGATAAGTTCATATTTTATAGAGAATTGGGTCAAAATCGGTTGTCTGAAGAAACGTTTGCTTTTTTAAATGGTTACGATTGGACAAGATTGATTGGATGCTTTACAGAGGCTTGCACTTTAAGATTGTAAGACTGAACAATAATTCATTATTTTTCGTGGTCCGCTTGACCAATTAATATCATTAAATTATTTAAGGTTTTAAGTTGAGATAAAAAAGTCAGTGTCACGAGCGGGATTCGAACCCACGACCTTCGGCTTGATACGCTGCTTCTCTACCAAAATGGCAAAAAGGAGGAAAAATTCAAAAAGGTGGGGTTGAGATGGGAAGTTAGTGCCCGAGGAGATCGAAGTCACAGTAGCTCAAGTGGAAGAGTAGCGGCGTATCAAGCCGAAGGTCGTTGGTTCGAATTCCGCTCGTGACATTGACTATTTTATCTCAACTTAAAACCTTAAATAATTGAACTGAACAATAATGTTCATTTTATCTGATTTTCTTTCCTATAAGTAATTTAAGTTACATCATTTTTAACGTGGCCAATTGTTTATTGTTTTTAATTGTATGCTTTTGTCTGGCAAAGTGATAAGGTTGTTTTCACGACTGCACAGAAATATATATAATTTATTTTATTTATATACTCCTTTTAACAAATTTGTAAGCCAAAAATACTGTCTTAAGTTACATTTGTTTAAATTGTATATTATTTTATACATAATTAATTAATAAAGACTCAATAATAATATATCATTAAATAGTAAATCCTTGGGAAATACCTGTAATCAATCTTGAGACAAGTTCTTCAGTATAGGTTTACAAAACTAAAAACAAACCAAAATTCTGAAATGCACACATATTATTACAAACCTCTTGATTTATATCTTAGATTTTATATTGTGATAAATAAGTCGTTTTTTATTAAATTGTAATGAACCAAATAGAAACATATTTCAAAACAAACGTTCGTACTCGACTATTGGGTTAATTTGATAAAACTGAAAAATCGGATTATTAAAAAATATAACTATTTTATGTGAATGTTAATAACCTAGAAATTGTTATTATTATGAATTTTTTTTCTGTTAGTCCTGAGAAAATTGGCTAAGGACTCCAGTTTAAAGGGTACAGAATCACTGTTTTGAAGCCACTGACCTATACTCAACTCAATTTTTGTAAAGCAATTATGCTTTTTAAAACATCTTTAACGCGTTCATTATGGTGATCTGTGATCATGAATATGTAAAAGTTCAATTAGCGTATAATTGGATGTCTGTTCATATAGTATGAGTCATATTGTTGAAAAAACTAGACTATTTTTTTTTTAAATGATTGATTCTACGCTCAGTGGAAGACTTCATTGCTAAAATTGGTTACTTACAAATATAAAAATATTTAAAAAAAAATTATGGGAAATCTTGTAATAAAGTATAATTAATTGTAAGAATCATATATACATTTTCTTTCTCAGTCATTGATTTTTTTTTTAAATATATAAATATTTCACACTTTCTTTTTTAGTTATACCAGTATATTAGAGATCAGGGAAGTGGTCATGACTGCATCCCTGATCTCTAACTTACTGGTGATATCCCGAAGGTCGATTCATCCTTCCTTCATTTTTTAGTTATAGTTTTGTATGAGAATTGTTTGTATCCTCTTCATCTGTGTTAATCGATGATTTATCTGTTTCTTCTAAATCATTTTGCTTCGGCGTTTCTTCTGAAATTGGAACAATTAACAATAAATAAGTTGATAAAATAGTTTGTTTTCTCACCCTTCTTTACACCTCTCAAAAAAATTCTTAGGCATAATTGTATGACAGCGTATAACAGACAAAAAGATAATGCACTTAACCCAAATATCCAAAATACCAATGAACCGCTGTAAGTTTGCATTAAGTAGCCACCAATAACACCACCGATAGAAATGCCTAAAAGATTAAATATTATTACAATTATTTATGATGGAATGTAATAAATACCTAAGCTGTTGAAATATCCATAAAGGGTGTTTTCAACATTGGTATCACTTCCAGTCCGTCGTGCAGCATTCCCAAATAACGTAATTATTGCACTGTGAAGTCCAAAGCTAAGTCCATCCAGTATGGCAATAGGTAAACTCAACCATAGGTTTGTAATATAGGAGTACAAAATAAAACTAACTCCAAATGCAAACAGCACAAATGTCATCAGGTGCATTCGGCCGATATTTTTTAAAAGCCATCCTTCATATCAATTACATAAAATGAAAAACAGGATGTAAATTGTTGGTCATGTTCTGCCCACATCATCAAAAATTTACTTGAAACAAGATAGAAAACAAACGAAACAAGATTATCAATTGTTTCAATCTTAAAACGTGGGATGATGCAATTATACGTATTTACCGAAACAGAAGAATGCAGGGAAATCGCCTAGATGTGTCCTGATCACCAAAATAAGCCCTTCTATTGTTTTCATCAACGATAGATCGCTCTCATTTGCAGCAGCGATGTCTTCTAAGTACCTTTTACCGGTTTTTACATTTATTGAAAAAAAACTCACAAATAGTTAATTAGCTTAAAAATTACCAAAACAAAAAGTTGTCTGATATTGTTGTGTAAAAACCGACTAAAGCACACCAAAGAACAAAAACTATAGCTGGTACATTCCTTGCATCAATATTACTAGACAATGTAGTCAATGCAGTCTGCGAATCTTTCTTTTTCATCTGAAATTGTCAAAACAAATGCTTTAAACGTAGAATAATGAGAAAAAGTTGTAAATTTAAATAATTTTGATAGTCCCTGATCAAGTGCTTTGACTGTATGAAATTGCACCCTGATCAAGTGCTTTGTCTGTCTAAAATTGCACCATCTTCAGACAAAATGCTTGATTGTCTTGGATCAAGTATTTCTTCAACCTGGAATTGAACCACTTTCAGGCGAAATGCTTAATCATCCTGGATCAAGCATTTTGTCTAACTGTTATTGTACCACCATCGGACAAAACCAGAAGAGATCAGGGTTATCATGCTATTTTATTTTTAATCGCCATAATAGCCAGAACACTATAAAAAAATATCAATAAAATAATTTAAAAAATATTTATGTCACCTTTAATTTAAAGCAGACTAAGAAATCTGTTAAATAAACGCCTAAAGATATATAAAATGCAATCGACATATCTTTTACTGTACTCCCTTCACTTAATTTGTCGATCAGAAAGCCTGAAATCACTGAAATAACTCCCGTACCTAAAGAACCCCAGAGTCTCACATTGGCAAACTGTTCCCAATCTTCACCTAGGAAAAGCAATTTGTTATATCCTTAATTTTATTAGTTTGTTTGTCTTACCGAGAAAATTCAGGCACATTGAATTGCCTATGCTATTGTTAATTTGAAATGCTGAATTTCCGATAACAACGACTGTTAAAAAGAGCCAAAACTGATGGAAATTATATACTTTTTTGTCCGACATCACCGGTGGTTTGTGTATAAATTCATAAAATATTTCGCCACAGTGAAAATTGCATACTGACGTTGTTTCAATGTTACACTTTGGATTAAGCCATTTTAATTCATGAGTCGCAAACCAATTTATTTTCATAGTTATACAATTATCTTCCTACAACAATAAAAATTAAATTATTAACTATTTGAACAAATAATGAATTTTTATGTTTATTTTGGATACAAACATAATGAAACGAGTTGGCTGCAATCGAAACTTTAATTGGGTAATAACCAGGTTCCCAGTAACTTCTATATTTGAATGCATAACTTGCATTGTGAATTTCTGTATCTTCTTTGATATCGTAATTGTCTTCATCAGTATTTAAAGTTATATTTTTAATTATCTGTTGAACCAAGAAGTCTTTCTTTTGTAATGTAATCTAAAAATAAGAATAATTTGTTTTCTTCTCTTATCCTTAAGTAATTCCTGTCATACAGGAGGGCTTAACGTCAACTTTGATTGTAGTGGACAAAGGATCAAACTACTTTATTATACTTTTTCATATCATGACCAATTAAATAACCATGGCTATGCTCGGATTGGAACCGCTAACATGGTTTTATGTAGCATTGTTAAATTTATTTATTTAAGAATAAATTAGTTTCATCAACTTTATCATAATAGAACAAAAACACTACTACTTAATTAACTCAGACAGCCAGACAGCATTGAGTGCAATTAGTACATTGGTAATGTCTAGTCATTTAGGACTTTATTAGGTCCCTGACAGACATTGGGGACAAAATTACCCTTGTATTCAGGAAAGAGAGGCAACAAGGGGGACAATATATTGTCTGAGGAAAGTTCGATGTGGACACCTATTGGTCCTGAACCTTGAAGTTGAAAATGAAGTTAAAGAACTTTCACAGAAATTAATGGCAGAACTATTAAATCAACCTCTTAAGGTTAGAATAATAGTTGGACTGCTAATTGTTTACTGCAGACTCCGGAGATGTATGTATAGGCTCGGAGTGGCAGAAACAAGCCTGTGCAGATATTGCCAGGAAGAAGAGACAGCGAAACATGTCCTCTGTTGGTGCAAGTCTTAAGTAGGCTGAGATTCCTACTCTTGGCAGATGAAAAGCCCGGATGAAAAAGCTTTGGGATCTGGTAAGCCTTCAGCTTAATGAAGAGATCTAGACATTAGAGATGCAACATATTAGTGGGTGCAATTGTAAAGAGGCAAATTCCTTTTCTAATTTTAATCTTATAGACTACTTTAATTATTTTAGACATACTGAGTATGACCATTGTTCTTCTGTCAGTTTTGGTAAAGGATACAAATGATCAGCATTGATCAAACTCTGTTTTGCATGATTCTGATCGTAACTAGTTAGCACATGAATATTTTTTGCCATTAAATATTTCATTTTTTGAATAATAAACTGAGCTGGACTTTTTAACACATTAGTGAACAAATACTTTTTCAGCCTATATATGAATAAGCATATTGAAGTATTAATTCTATTTAATAAAACGATTCAAAATTTCACATGAGAAAAATTTTTGAAATTTTTAATAGAAGTGGATTTAAATTAGGAACTAAAATACAAGATACAATGTTCTATATGTTTATATATATAAAAAATTACCATGCAATATAGATTTCTATTGATGTAAGTAGTTGTAAAATTGTCAATGTACTTATCGGTTAGAATATTTCCAGAACAGATATTGATAAACGTTTCGTTCGAACACTTCACTTCAGTGACACTGTCTCTTACGGTTGGTAAAGGTGGTACATATTGAACACCGAAATAAGACACCGTTTGGACTAAAATAAGAGCAAGAAAACTGATCTTTTGGCAGTGGTACAATCGGTTTGCATTGCCGATGAGAAATTTTGCAATGACCGAAGCTATGGGAACACCAGCGAATATAAAACCAGTGAATAAAGACGAAAAACCCATCTGCCTTCCAATTATCGGCAGGAATGGCGCAATCGGTGCACATCCTATAAAAAAATTAACAAATTATTTTTAAAAAAAACTTATTCAAGTCAATTAAGTTACCTCCGTGTGTTAAGAAGTAATAAGCTTTTATTAATAACAATTTTCTATTGCTCTTCATTCCTTTCTTGGCACATGCTAATCTTTCTTCAAATTGAATAACAATACATCCTTTAAAAAAAATATTTTACTTTTTATATTAAAACGCATCAATTTCACTTACACGTCAATAAATCTCCTCTATGCCCCAAGCTTTATTTTTCTTAGTGAAATAGTAATTTTAGTAAGATATACGTAAAATTGTGGAGTCTCTTAATTTTGTAGTATCTTATTTACTCTTTCCAAGGGGGAATGGTAACAGGATTAATGTGATTAATGCACACAAAGATTGCAGAGAATTATCTTCTATGTAAACTGCTCTAAGCTGTGTGGAACATATCCTTTATTTCTCATAATTCAACATCATTATTTCTGTTTATATATATCCTTAATGAGTTATACTGATTTTTTTTAAATGAAGAACTTTCTCTTTCTTTTTCTAATTAAAAGTCATGTTGAGATCCTGAAGTACCTTTTTCAACTTAAAAATCTAAAAAAAGTTAACATATAATTTTGTGCAACCTGTAATATTCAAAAATAGGAAACAATGGGTGTAGGGTGTCTGATATTCTATCACTGGGTTTCATTCCTGTTGTGTATACATGCGTATAGAATTGAGCCTATCATGTCTTACAGTCCACTGGCTATTCTAGCTTTGGTAATTTATAATAAATTACCAGCAGGTCTCAAGAATCACCCACCCCGGGTGTTGGCAGTCCGGGTCAGACATTGGTCATGTCTAGTCTCTGAGGTTGGGCTCCAAGAGCTATTAACAGTTAGGTCATTTCGGCCCTCAACATAATCAATTCCTAAATCCATTCACAATCACTATCTTAAAAGCATAGACCCCATAGCTGGTTAGGCCTTGGGTGCAGTGTGCCAATATACACAACACCCTGAAATGTCTCCACTCTGATGTAGAGGAATCTACATGGGCACAAATCTAGTAAATGTGTCATGGTTTCTTTTATTTATTATAGAAGTAATCTGATGTACAGAATCTACACATTTCATGTTCATCGATGCCGAACTTTTGTAGATGTCGGTCGAGTTTCTTCCTGCTGACTCTTTTGCATTTTTGTCATTATTCCAATGCTGCAGAAGAGCCCTGTACCTCCTTTCTTGCAAAAAGTTTATTTTCTTTAAGTCCTGTGTTCTAGAAACCATTTTTTAGTTTGCTTTGAAAAATCTTTTTGCTTGTTATGTTCAATGCTTGTAAATCTGCTGTTTAGTATCTTCTGCAAGAACATCGACTACAGTTACTAGGCTAACCATAAAAATAAAATAATAAGATTTCAGGACCAAAAACTCTTCTTGGGTTTGAAAATAAGAAATTTTGTTTGACCTGTAATATATTGAGGTTCGCTATTGAGATCTGTGGGATGACACAATACCCACTAGTGAAGATGGCGAGAAGCCAAAAAGCATCAAGCAGATCAACACAGTAAGGGTAAGAGGACCAAAATGATCTTGGATTTTATGCTTCTCATTCCAGTAAAGTTTTAAAAAATTTCATGAGTTTCTTCTAGCTTTGAGATACTACTAACTTTGCCAATAAAACACTTCAATAAAAATATAACAAATATTTATTTAATAAATAATATATAATAACGAATACTATTATGAAATGAATTGGTGCCTTCATCACCCAACTTTGCTAAATAATAAATACAGAAACAGTATTAACAGAAATTTATACTCTAAAAATGAAATGGGAATTTTCATTAATATTTCAAGTAGCAGACTAGTCAAACTAATTAAGTCACTCTTTAAAATACTTAATGCTAACTCAAAAACAATAACAAGTAAAATAAAATCTTTTCGTGGATTCAAGATGTCAGGGTGTGAAGATGAATCTTAGAAGCTTAAAACAATATTTTAATTGTACTAGTAATAACTAATAAAACTTCTTACATTTTGATTAATTGAAGACAAAGAAACAATATTGAACGAATAACAGTCAAAATGAGTTTTTAAAAATTGATTTTTAATCTTTATATAATTTGGGTGTTACATTTCCTAAGCTATGTATGTATATAGACATAATTTAAATATTCTGTATTGTGTATATTATTTATATATCACAAGAGGAAAGTCTACAAAATATAATTCTGTTTAAGGCATTTTTTTTCTCAATTTTATTTCACTTACTTATGTAATCTTTGGCTCCTACAGGGTGTTTAGCCACACCTAACACCAATACTACTTTTGAAATATTTTCAATTTTCTTTGAATTATTATTAAGAAAATAATTATTTATATATTTAAATAATTTAATTAATTCTATCTACAAATTCTAAAATGGGGTCAATTATGAAGGTTGACGTCATGTAGGTTATCTTCCAGCATATGAATAGCATCTGTTGGGCTGGCATACCTTGTTTCCTTGAAATCTGAGAACAGATCGAAATTCACTTATGACAATCAATTTAATGTAGTGTAGCATGATCGCAAATATTTTTTTTATTTTAGAAACAATTTTGTAAAGTGCATTAAAAATTAATTAAATTGAGTTGCCCAATTCAATATGAAATATTGTGTGACACTTTTTCTTTCTATGCATGTCTTACTTTGAACAAGTTTAATAGTCTGTAATGAAAATTTGGTGATAAAAGATTTCTGTAACCAATAGTTCATCGCAAAAGCCTTCAAAATTAACGAAATACTTTACCTAAACATATCCCTTGACAGCTAAGAGCGGTCAAGATACTTAGGGATCACTGGGCAATGAGAACGACCCCGCTGCTGCCCTGGAAGTCTTTCTGAATCTACCACTACTACATATCTTTATCCAGTGAAAGGTCAGAGCCACAATTCATAGGCTCCAATAGCCTAATTGAGAGGGAGTTTCGGGCAGGCCAGGTTCTGGGGATGCTTGTTGATGTCGTGACCCCTGATTTTAGATTTGATAAAAAAATTAAAATACCTGGTTGAGTAGACTGGGAGAAAGGAATCCCAGTTAAGGGATGGCCAAACATATCTGGTAAACAACAAAGTATGGGTCAGCTGTTGGTAGTTTTGGAAATAAACCAAGAACTAGAATTTAAATAAGCTTTCAAAAATATGCCACTATCTTTTAAACAGAGACTTTGACATTGAACACTGTGCCAAGGAGAATAAAAAGCTAGGTTTGTTAACAGAATAGCCATATACTCTGACAGATGGTGTCTCTGAGGAGAATTATCATAGTAAAGTCAAAAGTCATTTGCGATTGCATTAGATCAATCAGACATTAGGGATAAAAAACAAAATTACCCATCAGAGCACACAAAGGGGCAAATAAATTGGCCAAGGAAAGTTCGATGAGGACACCTATTCACCCTGAATCCTTTTGTGGCATACCAAACTGCAAAAACATGGATCTATCAAACAATGGATTAAAAATAAGTCCTCCGTTCAATGGTAGCCCAGGACAGATGCATGCGAAAAAGTTCATCAAAGAACCTTCGCAGAAACTAATGGCATAACTACTAAGTCTAGGACTACAAAAATAGTTGGACTGCTAACTGAACACTGCAGACTTTAGCTGGAGATTTGAAAAAGACTTAAGCTTATTGAGGAGCTCTAGAAACAATAGGGATGCACAATAGACCAGTACTTGTCGCAGTGCACAGGTTGCAAAGATGTCAACTCATACTCCTAATCTTACTTTAAAAAATAAAGCATAAATAGTATACTGTAAATAAAAAAATAAAATAAATAATATAACTGTAAAATGGCAGAAAACAAAGGAAATATTCTCAACCCGAACATTCAAATTATAAGATAAAAATTATGCAAAATTTTTGTAATAATTTACACTTAAACAACTATTTTTGTTTTCATATCTGTTGATACTAATTACAAGCATCATAAAATTCATAACCAGTTGAATAATTGATTATGGTTGTAGGTCTGCAAGTCGGTGAAGTCATGCTGTACTGTCATAGGGTCACTTATTGGGTATCAGAGTTCCTCATGGAATATGGCGCAATGCCAAAAAGCGTTTGAGCACTTCAACAAACCCACGAGTGAAAACAGAGCCAATGCTGGCTCGATTAACATATATTTACATCCTACAACATGTACATGTAATATATACATAAATTCTTTTTATATACATACGTTAGTTGATATTTAAGCTATAAATCACTCTGAAATTACCAGTATGAAAACAGACCTTATATACATTCTAAATCAGTATTTACAGTTAGTAAGATTATCTATAGGTTAATTTTCTCTTCAAAATTTGATCCATACAATATTTCTTATATATGAAACAACTCAATTTTAATTTTTACTGCACATTTTTTTTATGACTAAAAACATTAAGAAAAATATTTATAAAATCAATAATATTCACAAAAGCTATGGCGAAACTTTCTATTAGTAAAAGGCTCGAAGCTTAACAACAAAACATTCCAGCACCAAATGATTTCATTTGTATTACATTTTCATGCAATGTTTTCTTTTAAACTGGTCTTTGACTTTGCTAATGATAATGATAAAGATGATCATGGACAATTAATAAAAACCCAAACAATATTGAAGATGGCCATATCACGTAATAGTCAAGATTTAAGCCTTTATTTTTATAAACAGTTGAAAACAAAAACAAAAACCAATACAAATAAATGGATTCCCGTCTATCGATTTTAGGTGTCGTTCATGTCAAATTTGTAATGCACAAATGTTTTATTTATGTTGTACAGCCACCTCTTTTTAACACAATGACAGTACAAAGCTAAAATGTATCTTAATATTGTATTTTACACCTGAAGCCCAGTAAAAAATTCAAATAAAAGCAAATCATCAAAGGTATGACTAAGAAGCAAATTCATGCTAATTCATACATTAATATTTAAAATAAATAGAATGAAATCAAAACAAGCATGAAGAATCAAACAGCAAGAAGGAATTATATTAGTCTGGGGGTAAAGCTATATTTATATTCTACAAACCTTTTATATATACATCTACCCTTCAAACTGCCATTAACTTCCAGCTGTTCCATACACAAAATAAATTATAATTATGAAGACTAATAATTAGATAAAATTTAGTTTTTTAAGATTTGTTAATATATGAAATTATTGATCGACCATATTTCCAGGCCTATAAGAAAAAACAAAAAAATACTGTACATTATTTCTAACCAGCAGCTGATAACTTCTAGTTCTCTAGAGTGACTTTAAAAATAAAACATGCAAGTTTTAGTGAAATATCGGCAAAAATTGTTTGTAAAGAAAAAGAAAACAACCAATTTGTAATGTTAAAACAAGTGTGTTATCAGCTAGAAAAATACATCACCTCAAATACAGGTGTACATAAGTCCCACAAACAATTTTTAAGACATGTCAGTCTTATTAAACTCACCAGATAATAGTGGTGTAGTCACTGTCCTCAAAAGTCACCGAAAAAAACATTTAAATTTAATCAACAGTTATTTAAAAAAATGTCAGAAACAAAAACAACAATAACAAAGTGGTCAAATTTACATAAATTCATTTTATTTGAAGAATTTAATATGTAAGGCCCTGGAAAATTGGTTGAACATCCTGGAGACAATTGCTATAACTATGTATGTTAGCAATGGTCGTTTCTTGATGTATGATACAATCAAATCTACAAAAATGATTCAGTAAATACAGAAATTTTTTTTAAATGAATATATTTACAAATGGATATTCTTAAATTGACCTAAATTTTGTTGAGAATTTATTATGAATCTTTTAATTTCAATGAAACTAAAACAAAAGTGAAAATTATTTGTATTTAAATTTAGCTTCAATGCACAATATATTTTAAAAAAAGGAAACTTAACCAATACTTCGACCATTTATTATTTTCAATCCTCATAGAATTTCCTATAAAGATTTACTGAATCAGTCATTACACCCAGCGGCAATGGGTCTTATCTACAGCAATTATCAACATCATGTTCTTGCCCAATTTACCGACTAATTTTTCAAACCATGGCATAATTTTTTTTACGACAAAATTTAAATGATAAAATTTCAAATAATTTATTTATACTACTGTAAGAGTTTAAAAAAACCAAAAATCAAATGACCAGTACTGTAATAAGTAAGGATTAATTTCAAAACTAAGTAGTTAGAAACACATCAATCTCATTCCATCGCACAATATATATAATTATTATCAAACCGATAAAGATAGTTCTGATAGATTAAAAAAGTATATATATTGAAATCTACCATATTCTTATTTTAAAGAAGTTGTCTATTACCATATTTTGTGTAAGTATGTGTATATAGGAACTTCGACATAGCCAGTAGACTTTATTCAAACTTTAATACCCGTATACACTCACCTGACGTATAAATATTCACATAAAATAAAATGTTGATTTGGTTTGATCCAAAGATGCATTAAAAAGTACATTTTTTATCAAAATATTTTTGTTATTTTCTACGTCTAAAAATAGAAGTAAGAGTTTAAATCTTTGTACATTTATAATAGTTGTGTAGATAAACGATAAAATTACCAGGCTGTAACAAAAGTCTGTGTTTTTTGAAAATATTTTTAAGCCAATATGCGAAACATAAGATATGCTAAGTAAAAGTTGTCGCACACTGAGCTGGTGTACAAAATTCCAAATTTGACAGTAAAGTTAGATCGGATTTAAAAGGCTTTTTTTCATCTAACTGTATTTCAGGAGTAATGAATGGGATGTTGCGTGGATTATCCATTCAAAAAGGTAGACATAAAGGAGAAAGGTCCAAGACCAAAGAGGTCAATCCTAATGACGCAAAAAAAAGTGTGTAAAATTAGATCTATTAAAAAAAAAAGAAAAAAAAGAGCATTCGAAAAGACTTGGAAAACAGCTCTTGCTGGGATATAGCAAGAAAATCAGAAAGTCCTTGTAAAATTTCAAAGGATCTGATTAACTTTATTTTCTTTAAGCTTGAGATGTGTTGCGTACTTATGTGTACTTGAGCATGAGGACAGTCTTACATTAAGGAACTAACTTTGCAGGAGTTTTTTGGCTTATTTTTATTTATTTATTTTTTTGTAAGCGACAGTGAGCTATTCCTGTTTTTTCTGTATTTGCTTTTTGGTTGGTTTTCTAATAAATTTATTTGTCAAGTGCCAATTTTGTTGGAAAGATTCATCTTTTCTTTTTTAATTATCCATTTTTTTTTAAATGCTGGGTTTTCTGGGGTGTTAGGAAGTTAGGGGTTAGAAATGGTACATTCTGCTTCATATTTAAAAACAGAGCATGCAGTAAAAAAGTGGATTCTTTCTATTTTTTTCCACAATGAAAAAAAATCTGCCAAAAATTTTACATTAAAACTGGAGAATGTACTGCTACTTAGTTAAAAAATAACAGCTTTGTTAAATTGTAAAACTCTAGATTGATCAACTCTAGATTATCTGTATACATCTAAACGGCCTAGGTTACCAATACATGTCCAAGAGTAATTTTTGAAATGTGGGAGAAACATTCCCTTACCTTCCAAGAGTCCAGAAGAATGCCTTTAAGTTTTTAATCCCCCGAAAAAGTCCAAATATGTTATTGCACTTTCGTAACTTCCTACCTTGTAATGGAGTATTTTATTATATTAGAAGAAGAATTTATTGGGAACTATTACCACGCAACAAAACCCTACGGCAGGGGTATTCTGTTTCAAGCTAGGGCTTAGGGGAGTATTGAAGAAAAAATATCCAGCCCTTTTGAAGAGAAGCAACAATGTGTTTCACCATAGCTTTTTATTACTAGGATTTGCAACAGCAGAGGTCATATCAACCCTCAAGGTGTAGGTGTTTTTTGGGGGGGAAAAACACATTTAGCGCATTTGTAATATGTCGGGTTTGAATGGAGGGCCGCTAGATTCGAACCCAGGACCTTTACCTTACAGTGATGAGCGCAACCTCTAAACTTACACACTTACAACCTCACTCAGAGTAAAATGTAAAGTCTTCGAACTAGGCTGGTAAAAGTTGTCCCCCTCCATACTCTCCAGATCTTGCATCTTCCAATTTTTACTCATTTCATTTCACAGATTTCTTTTCATCTAATCATCAAACTTTTATAAAATATTCATATTTCATATCTGCTATATGTTATAAAAAAAAATGAAAGGATTTATTTTGGGTTAAAAATGTAAATAAATTTATACTTAGAAAATCTGACTTTTTTCCTTAAAACCGAAAAGTTATGCACATACCAAACATATAAAGCGAACACCTAAAAACACAAACCTTTGCTACACCTTAGTTGAAAAATTCATCAACTTTATTACATTTTAAAATTATTTATTGCTATCTGATAATAAAAAATATAAAACAATGTTAAAATATTTGTGTTCTAAACTCAGCTGTAAAATCACATTTCAAAACAAATTTGAAAATTTCATGTACAATGATCATTGCAGTTTTAACAGACAAGAAGTTCAGTTAACATCTCTGTAATGTTATAAAATAAACTGTAAAATGTTAGTTCCAAATCAAAGATATAAACAATCAAGAAGACGTATTCATCATCATTTTTATAATTGTGATTCTAAGTCAATGTGAAATAATTTTTGAATGTTTGAGCAGTTCTTTTTGTTTGGTACAGCACAAACTAAAAGATAAGCAATTATCTTTAGTGAATTGTGCTGAAATTTTAAGTAATAAAAAGCTAGTAAATGTGCAAGTGCACAAACCTGTGTTGTTGTTTTTTTGACAAATTTCCAACTTTTGTTAAATAAAAGTATAATTTAAACTTATAATTTAAAAAAAAAGGTCTAAAATAATATAATAAAAATAAACAGAGGTTATAAAAGTAAATTACTTACCTCGTTCATGAATCTGAAGAATTGTTGTCCTCTTATTGATAAAATATTGTAATACAAAATGTACCAGGGCAAGGAAGAGACCACCAACACCGAAAATTAAAAACATTCTAGCGCCCCCAACAGTTTTGAAGAGGAGGCCACCTATAAAACTTCCCATTGAAACACCTAAAAATAAACTGACGTTTTATTAACGGACTCCGACATCAAAAACGTGATAAATGTACTGACCCACTCCTTCGAAAACTGCTCCGACTATCCCTTGCGTTGTTGACTCCGTACCAGGAGGGGCTACGATGCTGGCATAAGATGCCATGGTGGAATACATCAGGCCGAAGGAAATGCCATTTAAAAATTCAATTGGTAAACACCACCATGGGTTGGTGAGCGTTGAATACAGTACAAACCTGCATCCCAATGTAAATAAAACTAAAGTCATTGAATGAATGTGTCCAATCTTTTTGAGAATGCTTCCTAAAATAAATCACAAACTAGATATACACTAAAATTAAGAACTGTACCATTAATTTGCCTAACAATAGTTAGGTGTTTATTAAAAAATTAACTTTTTACTTAATACTATCATGACAGACTTCAAAATGAAGATAATGTCAGTCAATTTACGTATTTAATTTTTCTCCCTGGAGGGTGTCATTAGTTGTAACCATTATAAACCAAATAGAATTGTGTGCAGAACATTTTTATTTTCTTAATATAAATATAGATGAATATTAAAAACAGTTAAACGTGAAATCATCCTACAGGTCGAGGGGAATACAGATGGTGAGTGGTTAGGGAGGATTTGAATTTGCAATATTAGCGGTTCTGGGTTAGAATCCCATTATGACCTTTGGAAATTTATGAGATTAATGAGGCAAAAGTATTGCAAAGCAGTTTTGACCTTTCTTCATGATGGTCAGCTGGTAGTTGAATTTCAGGAACTGTGGTGCCGAGTGGTTAAGGAGTGAGTCTGACGCGTATTTGCAAGGTTTGAAGCCCAGCATGGATGGCCTTTGAGTGAGATGAGATTAATTGAGCACAAGTATTGTAAAGCGGTTTTGACCCCTTGTTTATGTCAACTAATAGGTTTGGGCGTTAAGAGCTGTTCTGTATGAAATGCCAGAAGCCTGTAGTTACAGTTTGGATATATTGTGCCATTGTGCTTGCACAAACCTGAGTAAGTCCAATTATAACTTGTGATTTATGTCACCTTATTTGAAATAAATGTTTTCCCCTAAAGATTTGTGTAATAGCCAGCATATGGTTGTTTTTTTGGTAAATCTTTAGTTTACAAGTATAAAACCATACTACTGCCAAAAAGATAGCCAAATGTAAATCTATGAGTAAAATGTTCCACAAATAATTATATATTTTTTATATTATATAAAGATCAAATGTCTGATTGAATTGCGTATCAAAGTTTTATTTGTTTTATGTTTGTATTCTAAATTTTAAATAAAATTTACACAGAGGTTTTTCAGTGTTTAAAACGCAATATTTCATGAAAGCTAAGTTATTTGGACAGTAATTTAAACAAAATTACCAGACAAAAAGAAAAATGGCAATTCTCCACCTAAACACTGGATTCCCATTGCCAGCCCTTCTAATGTTTTTATCCAATTTTTGGTTTCACAGCTATAAGAGTTGGCTAAATCTTCCAGGTGCCTAAAATAACAAAATTATAATTATTGAATGTATATTAAAAAAAAGGTTATTTGGTTACACACCAAAAAAGAAAATTCCACACTAAAGCTGTGCACATGCCCACACAAATACACCAGATCATAAAGATGACTACTCGCACTTCTGCAAGCAATTTTCCTACGTCTCGAATTATGCTTGAGGAAGTTTTAACTTGTTTGTACTGCCAACAAAATTCCGTTCTTAATTTGTTCAGTTTTTCACTGAAAGTGATTTTTGATTTGATGTACCTTTAACTTCATGCAGACTACAACGTCAATTGCTAGAAGGATGGCCATTAAGACAAAGGCGGGTAAATAATTTTTCATGGCCTGCCCATTACTTGACTTATCGACAATCAGACCAGCGATAATGGAAAGAAGACCCCAACCGACTGAACCCCAAAGTCTTTGATTTCCATATTTTGACGGAAATTCGCCTGAAATTTAGACAAAAAAAGTTTAGAATCGTAAACGTGACACTTAAATGAATAAATTATTCGACATACCGAGCATCTCAAAACAAATAGCATCTCCGATGCTTACCACAACAGCCATACTCGACCACCCGATCACAAGGCAAGCCACCAACATCCAAAACTGATACATCTGAACGGCATCAGTGTCACTAACTTGAGGATTAAGAAAAATCTCACTCACAACATCGTTTTCACATTTCGTTTCACATGTCACTTTTTTAAAAGAATCACAGTATGCAACTTCGTAAGGTCCATTGAATTTGACTTTCCCGAGTTTCATATGTACACAGTTTCTTATCTATATAACCAAAAATACAAATCAATAGATTAAATAAATAGAACAAACACACAAATTTAAATAGGAACAATGTAAATAATATACCTGTGTAGTATGTTTTGGAAATATAACAGCATCAAATAAAAGCGTCTGAGGTGCTGATGTGATCACTTTTTTATTTTTAGTATTAACATAGTTTTCTGTTAAATTATGACTTTTGTTTACATATTCTATAAATTTATTTGAAGGCACCCTATGTGTAGTACAATACTGTGGTTGGTGCCAAGTCGTACAAACGGATTCTAAAAATTGAGCATCAGCTACACACACCATCTGTAAATTAAACCAATAACAACAATTATAAAACAGTATCTACAAGACAATAATAAAAAATTAATACTAAAGTATAACATTGCAAAATTTAGTGGTCCCTAAGCAAAGGAAGCAAAAAAAAATATATATAATTGAGACCAGCCCTGAAAAAATCCCTCTTCAAACAAACTAGGTTTGTTGTAGTCAAACGTGAATCATTACTTATAATAAATAGAGGAAGTTAAAACAATGTTCATCTCACAAAAAGGTGAGGTAATGAATACTTTATCAGAATGGACATCTTTGTCAGTCAGCCATCCTGTTGGAAGGTTGAGTCAATTTGGCAAAAAAATTCAGGCTTTATAGATGTCTTAAGGCGAATCTAGCGGCCCTAAACTTGAACCCAACATCTCATGAATGATTTTTTTTTCTTTTTTAAACACAATCTATCTGTAATCTTGATATATAAAGTAAAATTTTACTATGGATGGAAATGGGTTACTACCCCTAGCCTTGTTCCTTCAGACTACCACCTCTACTAAAAGCAATAGCTAATTTTATAAGGAAAGAAAAAAAACAAACATTGTAAGACATTAAACTAAAAGAAGATTTTTTTCTATTGAATTACGAGTAGTACTTCCAGGGAATTGAAAAGTGTTGAATACAATGGCCATAATTCCACGATTAAAAATAATTTGATAATAATGTTTGATAATTATGATAATAAAATATGATATCATAAATATTAACAATTCTGATAATGCAAAATAAATAAATCATAATTATCTATGTGGTGTGTAAATAAATCTCTCTTTCAATAAAGACCATTGATAGCATGTTTAAAATTTTGTAATTTGAATTATTTTTAGAGGGCAAAGTCTGGTATATAGGACTGACTGTACATCAACAAACAAGTTATGATACGATAAAAAAACAATAACTAACAAAAATGATCAATTTTTCATTTGAAAACAAATAGTTTTATATATGTGCATTTAATTATATATTTCTGAAAAAATTGGAATTTAACATCTATTTGTTTATTGCAATCATAGAAAAAACATACTTTTTTTTCTGTTTTGTTATTCAATACCTTGGGCAAATAAGTGATATGAAATTCTTAACAAAAAGTGTTATCTTTTGTTCTTTTGTTTTCTATTGCTCTCAATAATAAATATGTAGACTTTTATAAACTCAATTGTAGGAACAAATAATTTAATGACATTTTTTAAAATCTGGTATGTTTCAGAAAAACAATAGCCAAATTAATTTTTTTTACAATATTAGTTTACCTTAAAAAAAGAGAAAACATATTTAAAATAATTTCTGCCGTATAGAAGGGTTTTACATTCAAAAACTGGTAGGGTTATTAAATATAATTAAATAAATCTCATTCTGCAACAATATAAGACAATTTTAATGACATTGAAACTGGTGAAAAAACTTTGTAGCTTAACAACTCCATGTGAAATTAAATACCCTTGTTCACCTTGAGTATCATATTCACGAAAACCACAAGAGTTTATATAATCGTATACTTTTAAAGTGCAAAGCAAAATAAAATTTAAAAATTTAATCATGGTTTGAATGTACTTACATGACAGGTAATATTATGGTCATTCATTCCCTGATTAATGATCCTTGGTAAATAACATTTGTCACCCAGATTGTCCGAACAGAGTTTTAAGTCCGATTCCGAGTCACAGTGTATTTCAGACTTTGTCTCAAAAGGAAGGGACGGAATCCATGGTATCACGAAGAAAGCAACTATGATGCTTAGGATGAAGCTTATAAACAGGGCCTTCTGGCAGTGGAATTTGTCGGCAAACGCTCCCATCGACGGTTTTGCCAGCATCCCCATGATGGGGAGAAATGTGTATATTGTTCCTACTGTTACGGTCGAGAATCCAAGCTGTTTTGCAAACGTTGGGAGAAAAGGTACCACCGGTGCCTGTCCTGAAAATAATCGATTGAATTTATTTACACTTGATAATTATAACAATCACTGAAGAACAAAATTTGGAGAAATCTTTTGATTAGCTCAAAAGTTGAAAGAGAAAACAATAGAATATGTTGATGAATGGAACAACGCATCAACATAATGCCTGCTAACTCAAACAATGGACCCTCTTCAATGGAATATCCAGCTGAAAAACCATACAAAGTAGCATCCTATATATAAAGCGAAGTTCTATTGTATCTAAGAAAAAATAAACAAGTTTTTCTTAACAAGATATAGGGAATGTTGATATATTCTTTCTTTCACTTGGACAACACCAACACATTAATTCAAATTGGAAAGAATTGAATTAATTTATTAAAATTGCTCAAACAATAAATCTCCCAGATTGTACAAGTTTCTAAAAATAATTATGCTTTTAAGATTTTTGTTAAATGCAAGAACAATTCAGCATAAACATAATTGTTAAGGATAAAAGGCTAATGACAGTGAAACAATAAAGATCAAAGTTGTTTCATGATTCAGCAGGAATATTGAAACATTTTGTCAATTTTAAATAAAAACTTACACTTGTATAAAAATTGATATAATTATTACCAGAATACAATTAAATTTGATTTGATTTTAACTTGACCATCTATAGAAATGGAAAATAATCTAAAGACAAGGCAGATTAAAAAGAAAGAAAAAAAGACAAACACCCTAAGAAAATAATCCTATTACTTAAGGTCAAATCAATGAGGTTTCAAATTCCTTTCTTGAAACTTTCTGAAAATCAGAAATAGAATAACTAAAGCTTTTATAGAAAGGTAAACACATTCTTTATTAAACAGAACAGAGATAACTGATAAATAAGTATAAATTAATGAAAATTAACTCAGCTCAATTCAATTCTCAATTGATTTGAAATTTAACATGAATATAATTTGGGGGAAGAGGAATAATTGTTTCCTTAAAAAGATAATGTTTTAATATTACCATTGTTGCTATTTATTTTAAACATATTTGGAGGATGAGAGTGAGTGTGTGAGAAAGAGAGAGAGAAAATTAATTTCAAAATGTTTTAACTATTTTATTTATTTATACAAGCTCAACTCTGCACATATATGGCCATACATACACACATGTTCTTGCCAAGTTCAGCATTTAAACAGCCTGGTGTCAGACTTAAATTAAACAGACGGTGTATTATCCGTCACAATGATAAAGTAAGGCTCCAGATCGCATCAACAGGTAAGTTGTCTCAGCCTCCAATGCCTGAATTTTTTAAAATTACACACACACTCTCATTTTTTTATTTACAAACAATATTCCGCCATCGGCCATCTCACAATTCATATTCACACTAATAAAAACATTTGAACTTAATATTCGTAGAAACACAAGCTGAATATAGCTGTATATCTAAAGTGAAATAAAATTGATTTTTGATCTCAATAAAGATTGAAACGTTAGGACGATAAAGAAAATGTTTTTCTAAAACCTAGACTGCATCTCTCGATCTCCAAATAATCATTCGCTAACGGTCACTAACCACCACACAGTAAAATAATTTCTCTCTTACAGGAGGACTTAACATCCAACTATTTGTTCAATTGAGAAGTCAAACCACTTTTCATTAAAAAGCCATGAAATTCGAAAAATAAAACAGTTCTGTTTCCTTCAAAAAATGGGATGCTATCGTGCTCATGAAACAATTACATAGGGTGGCAATGCTACACGCTCTATATATAGACAAGTGACACCCTTCAGTTAAGTGGGACACATCGAGCAACCAAGCTCTCTATATGTTGGACAAAGTATTCTGCTTTTGGACTAAATAAATAATACTTGTATTGTCCAGCAAACTTTTATCTAGCACAAAGGTTTAATTGTTTTATTATCTTTAATTTCCAATAAAATAATAATCAAGTCAATGTAATCATTTATCTTAATTAATTAATTTTACTGTTATCTGTGTAAGATGAAGATTAATAACAGTTATTTCTTTAACATAGTGGCGAAGAAACCAAGAGGAAAAAATTCTTTCAGTGGCAGAAAGTATTAATCATTGCAAAGTTAGTGAAACTGTGAATGTCCAATTCTAAACATTTTAAAGTGCAAATAAAACTTTTTTTTAAATTGTACCTTCCAAAGGTTCCTAAATACAGGTAGAAAGTTGTTTTTATTGACAATAGAAAGTAAGATAGTTAAAAAAAAACAACAACAATAAACTGTTCAAAATTAATTGTTAAATACGAAAGACAATAGTTTAAGGTGCACATCGATGGTGTTGATAACTTATATTCCATAAATTATAGGAAAGATAAACAATTTTTCAAAATCCTTCTAGGTTACAACTTCCATAAAACTGCTGAAAGTTTCAAATTGTAACTAGAGCTATGTTTTGTATGCAATTGCATACTCTTTTTCAGATATTTATCTGAATATTACCTCCATGGTAAAATAGTTGAGATTTTATCCTGCATAGTTTTACATATTTAAAGAATAATGCATAAATTTGCATATTGAAACATTTTTGGTTACTTAAACAAAAGTAAATTAGGCAACTACAAATGTGACAGGTCAGAAACTAAAATTGTTTTAAATATTTCAGTTTACTTTCCAGGCTTAAGCATACTGAAACAGCAGAATTCTCTTGAAATATTTGTATCCTTTTTGGAGCCTCAATTTTAGGTGCAGTTTTTATCTTTACTTAAAAATTACTTTTACTTCTAAAAAAGAAATTTCGATTTTTTTCTTTCAACCCAAAGCATAAATTAATAAAATCCCTGGCAATGCAGGATTTATAAGATAAATTTAAAAAACATCCTTAACAAAAATACCAGAATGACTGAATTGGGGAAAATTTTTGGTTTTATAAAAAAGAATTATATTTTAAATAAGAATTTTATTGTCAAAACAATACCATTAATCTATGGACTATTTTGATTGAACACAGGTAATTAGAGATCAGGTTTGGGAAAAAATCATAATCAATTTGTAGACATCTTTAAGATTATTTTGCCCTGATGATGACCTTGAAAAAGGTTCAAAGCTTGGCAAGTAACAATTGAATGTTTTTTCATCCAGATCATACCAAGATCCAGATTATTGATGAGTGTAAAAATGGTCGATACATCTAACACTTAAAACATTTTCAAGTTAATTATTATAAATGGCTTAAACCAGTTGAAAGTTAATAAAATACAGAAAAAAAGTACATGAATAAATGGTTATGTTTTATTAAAATAAACAATCCAGGTCTAGTTTTCTAAACAATCAATCAGAAACAAAAACAACCTAGATATCATGCGAACTAGATAAAACTTAACAATACTTTTTTGTATTAATTGATACTTCAACGACAAAACTGAGCCATTATTTAGGAATCGCATTGCACTGGCATCATTGTAACAGCCGTTTTCCAATCGTTTCTGGTCAGAGATCCCCTTGTAGTTATCTCAATCTCGGTCTGGATGAATAAAACAATTCAACTGTTTAACTGTCAAGCTTTTGAACTATTTTAAGGTCATCATTAGAGCATAACAATCTTAAAGATGACTAAATGGACATAATTAAGTTTTTAATTGATGGTTTCAAATTTCTTTGAAGACCGAATCAGTCGAAACATTGCCAAGGACTGTGAATCAACAGTGAAAAACAGGCCTTGGAAACGTTGCGACTGAGTCGGTCTTCAAAGCAATTTGAAACCACCTATTAAAAACATAATTAAGTCAAATTGAAAGTTAATAATAAGAACAATAATAAAATGTTTATTTAAATATATAGCGAATTACAGTTTTGAAATTTCATTCAGGGACACTAATAAATGGACAAAGTCCACCTTATAAGTTGGCTTGTAGCCATTAATAAACTAACACATGTGTTATATATAACAAGTGATGAGATAAATAATTAAACTGTTGAAACTAAAAAGTCTAAAAATCTGCCAGCTGGAACGTGATAGTTGTATGGACTATTCCAATCAGAACGGTTTAAGAGTTCAACCATTCCTTCTTTTCTTATATAAAATAAATAACATATTTTTAAATAATTATTATAAATTATAAATAACATATATAAATAACATATTTTTGCCAAACTATCTGTGTCTTATGAAAGAACTCTCATAAGATGGGGCACACCGCCACATAACGGTACAAGTCCTCTATTTCCCTTCTATTACACGTAGAACATAAATGTCTTTCTTCAGATGGTTGACATTATAATTCAAACCCAATAATTGTTCCCTAAGTTTAAAAATTACACTAATAAAATTAAATCTATTGATATTAGAAATATGATTGTCCCCTAGTTCTGAATTCGGATCCCCATACAAACTATGCATTTATTTATTTATTTACTTTAGTACATTACAGATCCTGACTTTCTAATCAGTACAGTCATTACAATATTTAAAATTAAGAAATACAAATAGTTTTCTGAGTAATCAATAGACTAATTATATGAAATTAGTAATTAATAATTATGAAAATCATTTAGTTATTTCATTTTTGAATACACTAAATGAAAATCCAAATATATTCAAATTATGCACGTCATTGATTACACTAAAGGCCTTTTAAAGGTAAGTCATTGCACCAAATTTCCCGTAATAAACCCTATGAAACTGGGTGTAAAAACTGTGTTGCTGACAATAACCTTGAGTAGGGAAATGAAGATTTATCTGACTGAGAAGGTGCAGACAAAAGAAATTATTGCGCTTTTTGCCTTTGACCATTTTTAAATTCTTGCACAGACTTTTTCCAATAACAAATTTAATTTTTCTTTATTTAAATAATCAAAAGCTCCAAGCCAAACTGAAAGTTAATAAAAAAAAAAGACGAAAAAGGGGTAGATGAACTATTTTTATTAAAATAAACAATCCAGGTCTTATTTTCTAAACAATACCCGAAAAACAAAACAACCTGTTGTTTATTTGTTTCTGTTTCACTTTGAGGATTGTACCTAGATACCGTGTGAACTAAATAAAACTTGAAAATATTGATTTGCATTTTGTATCAACCGATGAAATAGAAATTTTAATACTAAAAAGTTAACTACAAAGCCAGTATTTACTAATCATACTATACTGAAAATGGTGTTGTTTTATCTATTCCACAATGCTAGATGCTAGTTACACAGATAATTTTGATCCAAGAATAAATGTTTACGGCCATAATAGCTGTAAACATTTAATGTAATAAACGGCACAGAAAATTTATAAAAGATAATTAATGCAAAATTGCATAACAGAACTATGAAAGCTTACCCGCATTGAAAAGGAAATAGTGAAGTTTCATCGGCAACATCTTCTTGTCGATCTTCATGTTGTCGTTTTAAAATTACACCGCTGAAAGAAAACAAGAAAAAAAGATATGATTAAGCTTGATATAAGGAAAAATTCTTATGAAGGTGGCTTCAAATCAACAAATTTAAAACTACATAAAATAATATTTGAATGGATTTGATACAAAGTTTTAAAGCAGTGTATATCATAATGAAATATTTATGATATACTATATATGTGCAGGTCATATAAAACTATGTACTTACATAAAAAGACCCTGTCAGTAGGATTGTGCGGATTTAATTTTTTTTTAATCAATCAACAAGGAACATTTATTCAAGTCTGATTCAGGCTAAATACTAATGAACATCTTTCGATAACTGGTCATGTCATCAAGAGAAGAGACGTTTCAACTATTCAATTGGCCAACGTCTTTTTTTATTTCGACTTATATACAAATAGACAGATTAAATACATAGGTGCCGCAGTTTTTGTTTGAGAAACGAAAAGAAAAAAAAAGATAAACGGTCTGCAATTAGAGTAACAGTAAGTATAATTGAAACGAACAACTAGAGAGCAGAACGCACAACTAGAAACCATGTGTCTTTTATAGTTGGTTTTATTGGACGGGCATAATCATTGATCAGACTTTTATCGATATGCTTCTTTTCGATTGTTTCCTTCTTTTCTACTATCGATGAACAAATTTGTCTCCTACAACAAAATCGATTTGCTTGTAAAATTTGAAATTTTATTTATTTCAAAGGTAAAAATATGGCTTTTAACCCCCTTACATAGTAATATAACAATAACAACAATAATATAAAACATGTAAAACATGTAAAACAATAATATTATTAATTAATAGTTTTGTATACCTAGAAGCTATTAAAAAGTGAAGGTATTTATTAGGGTGAAAGGGCCGATGGTAGAACCCCACCGGCTCTCAATTATGTTAGTTTTATTTATATAATAAAAGGCTGATGGAGGAACATCGAATACTCCAGCATCCCAACTGAGTGAATGGTATGTTAATAAGAAAGAATTTAAGAGTGAACGGATTCAGATCTAGGAACTGACAGCATCCAGAGTCCAACCTCGGAGGCAGGACGGATAAAACTGATGTTTGCCCCCCGGATATAAACACCCAAGGCGGGTGTTTTCGCGAGTCCTGCTGGCTATTTATTGCAAATTACAAAACCTGAAATCACTCGTGGACTGCGAGAAATGATACGCTTAACTCTGTACATGTGTATATATAGGTGCATGTGAAGATTTGAGCTTATATAAAAACAAAATCCAAAAGATTGATTATTTATAATCGATTGATGAAACCACCAACCAAAATAAAAACACAAAGAGAAAAAATATAAAAGGAACAGGGATAAGAAGGAGGATTTATGTCGTTTTTCAAAACTCAGATGCCATGGTCCTGAAACAAACCAATATGGAAGCAGAACGTACTTCCCAAGAAAGCAAATTCGACAGTCTTGCTCCTGCAATTTTGAAGGATAAGGCTAATGTTTTCTAGGCTTGGGATATGATTTGATATGAATATGTTTGGATAAGGAATGTGACAAAAAAAATTGATTGAGGACATTTATTTGATTTAATTTTAAATATAAGTGCTTAGAATTTTGAGGTTGCTGAAGATGGTAATATAAGAAGAAATATGATCTCTTGGTTTAAGATAATGGCAGTATCTAATGCAGGAATGATAAATAATTTTAAGGCAATGAGCAGATTGAGAGTCTAAAGAAAGTGAAAAAATATCACTACAGTAAGAGAATAAAGGAATTATTAGAGATTTAATAAAGAAACTTGAAAAAGCTAAGGCATCGAAGAGAATGGAAGCATAAGTAGACCTTTGAAACAATACAGCTCACCTGCTCTTGTTAAAGCTTGGAATTTAAAATAACACCGAGATTTTAACTTTAGGACAAAATTTAATAGGGGAGCCGTTGATATGGTGGGTTTATTAGAAATGAATAAGGACTGGGATTTATTAGGATTTAAAAAGTTAATTAGAAGAATAAAGATCAGGATTGAGCAGGGCAATCGTTCATAGATGTTGCTTGTAGGACATTGAATGCAAAGTTGAGCGTCATCAGTACAAAGAAGAAATTGGGAGAAATTAAAAACTAATGGAAGATCATTTAGAAACATGGAAAAGAGTAAAAGTCCAAAAATAAAGCCTTGGGGTACAGCAGCTGAAATTGTGAGAGAAGGGGATGTAGAAGCTTTAACTCTCTGAGTTGTCAGACAGATAGGAGGAGATGGGATTAGTAGCAGTTCAAGAAAAACCAAAAAGATGTGTCAGTTTCCAAATAAGCAAATTATGATTTACAGAGCCAAATGCATTGGAAAAATCAAGTAGAACAATAATAATACTCTTATTATCTCAATGCGAATATCTGAAATTTTGAGGGCTATGAAATTTTTGGAAGACAGATTGAAAAAGGGATGTAAGGGCATGGGAGCCAATAAATAAGGATATTTGTTTAAATAAAATCTTTTCAATCCTCAACATAGATATGGAAGAACTATAGGGCAATAGTCACTAGCAAGGGCGGGCTTAGGTTTCTTGGGTAAAGTTCCAGGCTGAAGAAAAACAGAATGAGTTGACAGATAAGTTCAAAAATGTCAAACTATACATATCTCAAATTTGTTTTTTTATCTGAAAATTTCATACTTTTTTACATTATAATTACCTCTTTATAAAAGTCCAGTTTCCAGAGCTTTGAATATTAACATATTAAACTGAATTGAAAAAAAAAAAAGTAAATAAATAAAATAGGTAGTAGTAGTAAAGTTAAAAATCTTGGCGTTAATTTTAACCCCATGTGAGCTCTATTATTAAAAAGGCCTACTCAAGCCTCCATTCTCTTCAACACCTTAGCTTTTTCACTCCCCAAAAAATTAGAGTTCTTATTTCTTTCTTTCTTTTTTTTATATTTTTTTTTATGAGGGTTCGCAACATCAGAGGTCGTATAAACCCTCAGGGTGTTTTTGAAAAAAAGCCCATTTGAAAGTATGTTGGATTCGAATGCAGGACCGCTGGATTCGAACCCGGGACCTTTATCTTACAGTGATGAGTGCTATGTCAACGCCTAAACCGTTGCGGCCACCGACGCCCTCCCCCCAGTTCTTCTTATTAAATCCCTAATAATTCCTTTGTTGTAGGGCTTTTTTTTTCACTTTCCTTAGACTCTCAATCTGCTCATCGACCATTGAAGATAAGCAGACGAAAATGATCGAAAACGACCATATTTCCTATTTATTCAATCGTTATTTAATAGTATAATCATTTTTTTATCATTTGTTGAAACCGTTATTAATACAAATTCTTTATTTATCAGTTTATGAATCAGCCAGTTAAAAATAGTATCCCCTTTCTCAAACTGTTTATTTACAATAGGTTTTACTTTCTCAACCAGCTTTTTTTTATTATTTAGTATATGACATCTTGGTTTTGTGAATGCAAAGCAAAAATATTGCAATCTTTGTAAATTCAAGCTATTTCTCATGGTAGATAATATGCAATGTCCATTCAATTTTTCTGTTTATCATTCAAAATTTTTCTTGATATATCATTTTACAACTTTGGCAAACTATCCCGAGGTATACAAACGTTTATTTTATTTATTTATTTATTTTTGGGGGGGGGAGGACATAAAGTGCATTAAGTTATGGTAAAGGCTGTCTGCAGGAGAAAGACGCACAATTAATCAACAATAATAATATGACCTCCATAATATTTTTAATCATAAATTGGCAAAATTGAATAGTTTATGAAAACTAAAATAAATAAAGTGACGTAGTTATAATGAAATAATTTAACTAAAGCTTACAGAGTATTAAAAATGGCAAAGTTGGATGAAATAAAGCAAAACTTATGTACTTACAAAGCTCTATCACTAGAAATGATAAAGGTGGGATAAGTAGATTCACTTTTTGTAAATGATGGTTCTAATCACATATTCATGTACTCATACATTTCATGTCAAGATAGATGTTTATAACTCCTTCAACTTGATGATGGGCTTTTAATGCCCGAAATCCAGCTCGTTGTAAACAAAAATTCTGTGGGTAGAATATTTGCAAAAAGTGAAGTCTTCCATATTATCCTAGTGTGGTGTGCATATTTAATAAGTTGCTGAGGGTGGGATTGCCTGTCAAGATGAAATCATTTCACCCCTTGAAAGGGTTTTCAATTCCAAAATAGTTAGACATGAAGTTTCCCCAACAAAGCTCAAAAATTTTTAATTTGGTAATTTTATCAAAAATATTTCAACAGTTAACAGTTTCATTAGAGCTGTTGTCAACTTTTTTGACTTTTTATTTTGTCAGGATGGCCAGTACTCTGGGATTCCCAAGAAGTATTGTTCAAAGACTCGTAAAAGTCAGAATTAAAATCCTGTCGAATAAATCCATTGATTGAAACTCAAGACTTTTTGAAAATAAATTCTAGGCAAAATGGTAATCCGGTAATTTTAGAATTTTTGGGCTTTTTAGGTGAAGCTGTAGAGTACATGAAAATAATAGTTTCTAAAGGCAACAGCCGGTTAGGAGTGACAGATGGCAAATTAATCAGGTTTTTGAAGAAATACTTTTGAAAATTTTCAAAAGCCTCATAGTACTGAAACCCCCATATCTGAGCTTTATAAGTACGTACCGGATTTATAAGTGAAATAAAACAAAATTTGTACATACATGTATTCATTTTTTTAAAACAAACAAGTACGTAAAAAAGAACAATATGTAAAATAAAAAAACATTTAGTTATGCATTTTTTAAAAGAATTTTATAATTTACACATATAGTTAAATAATGTGTAAAAAGGAAAAATATATCAAATTAATTTAATAGAAAAAAGTTAATAAAACTTATTTGAAGTAACATACATTTTTAAATTTTCATAAATAAAAAAGTATCTTTCTAATCCTTAAAAAAAATCTATAAAATAAAAATCCATTTTTTTAATGACTAAGTTACAAGTATAATTATAATGTGTAGTGAGTTATATTGTGTTAATGCATTTTGTTCGTGTTATGTCTTTTTCTTCTTCTGTTTTGGTTAAAGTCTAATCAGTTTGTATTCTGTAAGTTAAAGTAATCAGCATGAAAACTAAATCATGTAATAATTAAAATCAATTTCTAAGGCATAATTCAACCAATTATACGGGGTATAACAGTATTCATAATACGGTTGTCAAAATATTAAACAATTTTTGGAAATGTTTAACAGTTGAAAATTTTCCTTTAATGTTATTTTCCCTTCTGGTAAATATAAAATTGGTCACGTTTCAAAATAATATCCGATTTTTCATGGTATGCTTTTTACCATCGACCTCCCCGCCATAGACCCCATACTGACAGACTACAACCATTTAACTATTACACTCATTCAATTGCCAGAAAATGGGGCCTAAAGCCAAAAGGAAAGGCCCAGGGAAATCTAAAAAATCTCATTTTTGGGTTGCAAGATATTCAAAAATGTTTAAAATATTTCTGTACCCTTGGGGCAAAATTGGATGTCAAAAAATAAAAAATTAATAAATAAAACCTTTTGCAAAATTGAACATTTCTAAAGATCCTGAATATTAATATTAAAATTCAAAGATAATCCAACCTTTTAAACTGATCAATTAATTGTTAAATGAGGAGTTCAATCTTTAATAATTTAAGGGTAAATCTGCACCCTTGAGAACAAAGCTATTTAAAAACACAGCTTTTCAAGATTGCAATTTAAAAGTTCCTTTGGTACAAATTCTATATTTTTAGTGTGCTCACATTTCATCAAATACAATGTAGTTCTCCTAATAAATATATTTTTTAATTTATTTAAATATATCTTGAATTTTTTGTATTAATCACATTATGCACTGACACTTATTTAGTTTTTAAAAAAATTTAGGGTTTGTTTTGTTTATTTTTATTTGCTTTAGCATCACACTAGTATGACGGAATGCTTCAGATCTCCCCAGAGTGAGGGGGACTGCGGTGGCCCCATAGTTAGGGCATCTGACTTTGTATTTGCCATGCTAGCAGTTCTGGGTTCTAATCCCAGCACTGCTTTGATTGATAATTATTTGAAAATTTATTGTAAATTAATTTGACCCGTTGTCCATGACACCCAACATATAATTGCACTAATTCATTTGTTGCCAATGAAACAAATGCTAATACGAATGCTGATTCTATTTCAGTACAAGTTATTTGAATTACAAATAGATAAATAGAAAGTTGACGTTACTTCGAGATGTTTAAACAGATGTTAGCGTTTAAAAGGAAATTGTTTCCTTCTTGACTTGGTGAAATATACATAGTCTGTCAGTTAAAAAGACTTGTTGCAATGATCTCATTTGGTTTTTAGTAATGTAATGTTGTTGTTTTTTTGTTTCATNGTTGTCAAAATATTAAACAATTTTTGGAAATGTTTAACAGTTGAAAATTTTCCTTTAATGTTATTTTCCCTTCTGGTAAATATAAAATTGGTCACGTTTCAAAATAATATCCGATTTTTCATGGTATGCTTTTTACCATCGACCTCCCCGCCATAGACCCCATACTGACAGACTACAACCATTTAACTATTACACTCATTCAATTGCCAGAAAATGGGGCCTAAAGCCAAAACGAAAGGCCCAGGGAAATCTAAAAAAATCTCATTTTTGGGTTGCAAGATATTCAAAAATGTTTAAAATATTTCTGTACCCTTGGGGCAAAATTGGATGTCAAAAAATAAAAAATTAATAAATAAAACCTTTTGCAAAATTGAACATTTCTAAAGATCCTGAATATTAATATGAAAATTCAAAGATAATCCAACCTTTTAAACTGATCAATTAATTGTTAAATGAGGAGTTCAATCTTTAATAATTTAAGGGTAAATCTGCACCCTTGAGAACAAAGCTATTTAAAAACACAGCTTTTCAAGATTGCAATTTAAAAGTTCCTTTGGTACAAATTCTATATTTTTAGTGTGCTCACATTTCATCAAATACAATGTAGTTCTCCTAATAAATATATTTTTTAATTTATTTAAATATAACTTGAATTTTTTGTATTAATCACATTATGCACTGACACTTATTTAGTTTTTAAAAAAATTTAGGGTTTGTTTTGTTTATTTTTATTTGCTTTAGCATCACACTAGTATGACGGAATGCTTCAGATCTCCCCAGAGTGAGGGGGACTGCGGTGGCCCCATAGTTAGGGCATCTGACTTTGTATTTGCCATGCTAGCAGTTCTGGGTTCTAAATCCCAGCACTGCTTTGATTGATAATTATTTGAAAATTTATTGTAAATTAATTTGACCCGTTGTCCATGACACCCAACATATAATTGCACTAATTCATTTGTTGCCAATGAAACAAATGCTAATACGAATGCTGATTCTATTTCAGTACAAGTTATTTGAATTACAAATAGATAAATAGAAAGTTGACGTTACTTCGAGATGTTTAAACAGATGTTAGCGTTTAAAAGGAAACCGTTTCCTTCTTGACTTGGTGAAATATACATAGTCTGTCAGTTAAAAAGACTTGTTGCAATGATCTCATTTGGTTTTTAGTAATGTAATGTTGTTGTTTTTTTGTTTCATGATTTCACCTGAAAACAACAAGAATATATTCTTAAGCGTTAGAGAGCAAATTAACATACAATTTTTTTCAACTCATTGTTATGAGTTTAAATTAAAATTTGTGAGAGAAAATGTGATAGATATAGAGAGAAAAAGGGGGGGATGAGAGAGAAATGTTAAATATTCAATAATTATTGTTACTATATGTAGACCTTACTCCCAAAAGTAGTGTTAATAATGTAAAACCATTTTATTAATTTGTACTCTGTAGAATAAATTTTTATACAAAAACAGTTTACAAAATATATTTACAATTAATTTCAAGCATGGCAAAAAACCGTATTCTGTAATTTCGATATTTTAACAGAAAACAAACATTACCTGTAATAATCTTCTTGCTATCTCAACAAGAGCATACTACTGAAGAAGTGCTTGATTAATCATTTTATTTTTAAACACTACAAAGCTGACAAGGTAGTTTTTTCATAATTTTATCATAGAAAAATACAGTGTTTTACTTTCTAATGATTTATTTAATTATCTTTCAAATAAATAGTATAATTTAATTATTCAGAAATCTTGAGATGCGATCTGGTGACACGACATGAATCTCATGATTTCTGAATAATTAACAATGTCTAGGTTAATTGCTCAATAAATAAAATTAAAATAGATTAATAAATTTTATTACATCATTTTAGAATGAAATGTGTTAGTTCATTGAGCTAATAATAATTAACAAGTTCCAAAGGTGAAATCAAGCCGAAGTGGTAGAATTTTTATGGCTTTTAACTGAAGAGTGCAACTGTTTAATTTCGTGAAAGTACGCTGCTAATACTTTTGTCTGGAAAAAAGCAGTTTGAAACAAATTAAGCAATTATTTTCAATTATTGTTCAAATTATTCAGACAAGAGACTAATACATAATTATTATATAAATTGATCCTTTGATAGTCAAGGTTTTATAGATTTTTTTAACTTTTTTATTTCACTCAAAAAGTTTTTTTTATGTTTATTTTATTATGTCTAAAAAAGAATTTTTGGCAAACTGAAAACATATCTTTCACTCTTTAAAAATCAAACATAAAACGTGTTTTAACCAATTTAAAAAACAATAAAAATTGTCAGCTAATAGTAAACAATTATTTATTTTCACTCACCCCTTCAATGTAGTTTCTCAAATCTATTTTCTCATTTTGAGAATGTGCACCATCATCACAGGCACCAATGGGAATTAAAATTACACTTTTCCCCGTAATTTCCTTTACAAAGAGACAAATTAATTTAAATATATTTGTTTGATTTTATAATACATATTTTTAATGATTGATCTTTTACTTGGAGGTTTAGAGTAATTGGAATCGATCCCCCTTCGCGTGTTAAATCAGGTTCAACTCCATAAACCATCTTTATTGCCGACCTCGCTGCAGTATAATTTGGGCTATCGACGTCCGAAAGCCAGGCCTTAGCGCCGTGAATCATATAAGCCTGAAATTTGTACAGAAAGAGATACAATCGGAAAAAGCCATCGATGATCTGGACGAACCTTAAAGCGATTAGAGCTTGCCCTATTTTTCCAAACATTATTCAAATGTTTAATAACGCATTTTTCAACTTTGAGCGGATCTTGATCAGGTACGATACGAATAGAAAATTTACCTATGACCTTCTTTGGTATCACAGTTTTTGAACCTTCTTCACAAAAAGCTCCTTCAATTCCATGTATGCTGAGTGAAGGAAATCGCCACCTACTCATTAGAATTTTCACCTAAGAAAATTAATTTTACAATTTAAAAAGAATATTAATAATCAAACAAGTAAAGAAAAAAATACAAACCTTATCTTCATTGTGCAATAATGTTTTTGTACCAATTTCATTTTTAAAATCAAAGATATTAAATTCAATATTTTTATAAAGGTTTTTCTCTTCATCAGTCACTGGTAGAACATCATCATGCAAGTGAGGAATTTGAATTTTTCCATCTTTATCAAGCAATGAATTCAACACATGGATCAAATCCGTCGTTGCTTCATTTCTGTATATTATTAAATTATTTTTTTAACAAACGAATGTTTATATTAATTAGATTAATTATACTTTTTATCTAAGGTCTCGGTTGAGATGAAAAGCTAGAGTCATGATTGGGATTCAACAAGCTGCTCTAACCACTTGAGCTATCGTGATTTCAATGTTTGGCCTTAGTTAAAAAGTATAATTTATTTAAATAATTAATAGTCAGTTATGACTACTGAAATAGTTATCATTATTAAACTTACAGGCACCCGCCATACAGACCACTATGGAGGTCTTTATAAGCACATTCAATCTCTATGAAAAAGTAACAAATTCCTCTGAGACCATATGTAATGCAAGGCTTTGAAGTTCCAAGCCAATAGTTATCGCTAATACACACATAGTCCACGTCTTTGAAAAAATATTTCCTTTCTTCAAGAAGCTCAGCCAAACCTTCACTACCAGATTCTTCCATCCCTTCAAAAACAAACTAAAATCAAAACACAAGATGATTTAAGAGCATTGTAATATACTTAAATGAAACATATTGGGCTGTTGAATTTCTGGCAGGATTGTAATGAAAAATTTAATTACTTTAACATTGACTGGAAGTTCAATTCCGCATTCTTTGTACGCTTCGATGGCATTCAGCCAGCAGAGAACAGGCCCTTTGTCATCAGATGCTCCTCTCCCATAGAGNCGTTCATTGCTCATATCAGTACAATAATCTCTGTGATGCCTTAGCCATGAAGGAAAATCTGCAATTTTGTTTTAAATGTTTAGAAGTAAAATTAATTAAGGAATAAATTATTTTTTTAAAGAATTTTTTATCCTCTTAGGAGTTGATTTAAGATCTCCCAAAAAGGGCTAAAGAGCAAGGAGGGACTGAGTGTTGGCCTAAAAGCTTCATTTTTCTTTTTCTGGTTTTCTCCTATTCTCCTGCTTTCTTGGGTGCTAACATTGTACTGATATTTGTTGGGAAGAGAAGTTGATTCCACAAATTGTCTGGTATGAAACCAGCCAAGAAAAATTTTAGCTTAAAGCAACTTAGTTCAATCAAACCAACCGTGTTGTCCGAAAGAGGCTTAATTCTTTTCTAACAAACAATTTGTCTTATTCTGAGGAATAAAAAAATGTTTTTCATAGAAATGGGTGTAGTTCATTGTCCAAATTAGTGCAATAACCTCAGAGACAACTGAGCCATGTAGGAAAATTTGTAATTTTGTTTTGAAATATATGATGGTAACATTAGTGAAGGCATAAAATATTATTTTACTCTTCTTTCCTAAGACTTAGTTGTCGGTTTAAGATCTCTGTCAAAAGTCAAAAAGACCCAGGTTGGAATGAGTTTGAACCCACTTTTTTTTGCGTATGTGGTTTCCTCATTTTTTTTTACAATTCTGAGAAATAGTATCAAATATTATGTGGTTGAAAAATACAAATTGTCAATACATTTGTCAATTAAGTACATGTCATTATAACAACACCCTTTCTTATAATTTAATCAATATATTTGAAGTATCACCAGTTAAAAATTCTTCAAAAGAGTAGACTTCTGAGGTTAATAGGTAAGATTTGATTCTATCCTTAAAACTCTTTTCAGGCAGTTTTAATTTTATCAGGTATTTTATTATAAAATTTTGTGGGCCAATAATTACAATCGTTTGCACACCTTTTGAGGCTTAACCTTGGGTGATAATTTATCAAATTTCTCGTTTTATAACTATGTACAACTTTGGCTGTTTTACGAGTGTTTCTTAATTTAAAGCTATACATCTCACACTTTAATATGTACAAACAAGATAGTGTAAATATTTTCGAACTTATAAAAATTATTTTCTAAAATGCTCAAGGCGTTTTGCTGCTGTTTGAAGACAAGCTTAGAATGACCGTGGCCCAAGACCATTAATGCATAAGTCATATGAGTTTGGAAGCAGGAATAATTTCATTAAACAATATTTCATTAAAAAATTACATTTTACACTTCTTCGCGAATATAATGGCCTGCTCAGTTTTAAAGCTAGAAATCTACGAACAGCATTGAATTTAAGATGTTGGTCAATAAACATTCCTAAATGCACGATTATTTTCAACGAAACTGTCAATACTAGAGTAAGTACTTAATAACAATTTTTTGTTTTTTTCTTTTTTCAACAGTATAAAATTTTCCCTGTACCATCTAACATAAATTTGCCATTTTTGAAAGTTAACTCTCTTGAGGAATTTTATTTTATTTGTGAGCTGCCAACATCAGCAAAACCGTGAAGTGTACATTGGAGACAGTTTTTGGGCGTCAAACAAAAATAAATAGATTTAAAAAAATTGAGGTTAGCCATTTTCAAAGAAACTGGTGTAGTTCATTTCCCAGATCACTACAACTGATGTGAAGATACTTTGTTTAAAGCACAAAATCCGAAAACCATATTCATAGGATTCTGAAGAATTGGGCCTGCTTAAAATTCAACTTACAATTGCTAATTTTTTATCGATACATTCTCTTAGAGGGCATAGTTTTCTACAATTATTTTTTAAAATATATATTTTAGGTCTAAATATTGTAAGTATTTTCTAATATAAACAATGGAGTACATTTGATAGAAGACTACTAGCCAAGTCTATAGTCGTCCAGACATCCACTTCTAAACTTATAAGAATGTAAAAAACCAAATTTTATATACAAAAATCACTGAATATTACACTAAATGTCTATATTACACCAACATGCGTCTGACGTAATAAACCTATTGTGTTAAAGACAATTTATTTCCTACCTATCATCTTATTATGGAGTTCCATAAAGTCAGGATGTACGCCATCAAAAATTTTAAATGCTATTTTTTTTACCCGATACATACTCTTAGAAGGCAATTTTCTACAATTATTCAATTTCCTAAAATATATATTTTATGTTTAAATGTTTTTTCTTTCTAATTTCAGCAATGGAGTACATTTGGTGGTAGACTACTCGAAAGTCCGTGGTCTTCCAGACATCCACTTCTGAACTTATGCTAATTTAAAAAACCATCAAACCGATTTATATAAAAAAAAGCAACTGAAAATTATCTATATTACACCAAAACGTGGGCGACATAATAAATGCTTATTGTGAAAAAAAAAAAATTTGTAGCCATCATCGTATTATGAAGTTCCACAAAATCAGGATGAACACTGAAAAATTATAAATGCTAATTTTTATTATCCAATACATTCTCTTAGCAGGCATATTTTTCTACAATCATTTAATTTTTTAAAATATGTATTTTGGTTTTAAATATCTCAAATCTTTTCTAATATAAGCAATGGAGTACATTTGATGGTAGATTACTCAAAAGTCCGTGGTCGCCCAAAATCCACTTCTGAGCTTATACAAATGTAAAAAACCATCAAACCACTTTATATAAAAAAAAGTAACTGAAAATGGTCTATATTACACCAAAACGCATGGGACATAATAAATGCTTATTGTGAAAAAAAAAAAAAATTCCTAGCCATCATCGTATTACGGAGATCTATAAAATCAGGATGGGCAGCATCAAAAAATTATAAATGATCATTTTTTTACCCGATACATTCTCTTAGAGGTCGTAGTTCTCTACAATTATTTAATTTTTAAAATATTTATTTTGGTTTTAAATATTCTGAAGTCCTTTCTAATATAAGCAATGAAGTGGAATTTGATGATGTAATAACTTACAAATGCAATAGGCGGTGACACCCCAAAATCCTTACCGATATAGAAACAATCCAATATTGTTGAACAAAATAGAGTTAAGGCTAAACTATTTATTGATTGATCTATTAAAATTGTTTTACACCTTTACGTAGTAATAAGAACAGGACAAAATTTTATGTAAATGACTGAAATTTTGTACTTTGTTGGTTGATGTACAATTGTTTCTCAAGACCAAAGACACAAAAATTTCAGGAATGAAACACTCAAAAAGGAAAGACAAAATCCTTCTAAGTCACTTACTTGAATAAAACTTCAAGATTTTCCTGTCCTCCAGTCATTTTTTCAGTGTCAACTCTGTGAACGAGTACTAACTAGAGGGGAAACGTTTCAAGTCTGGAAATATATACGAAAGTAGAAGATAAGATAATGATTGTGGACAAATGATCAATCTAAAAGAAGTTTTATATTTTCCCAGGTTTCGGCGTTGTTGCGATGTACTTGTAAATTGATGAAGCACCCTGTACACGATTGATTTTTTTACTTCAATCTTTGGTCAACAAACTGACAGTTTGATACAAATTTAACGTTTTGTTATTTAAAAAATAGGTCAAATGACACTTGACAGTATTGTAAAAATTTTAAATCTTTGCAGATAGGTTATTTTACCTTCTATCGTTATTTATGTTCTTGAAATATTAATTATTTTTATTTATAAAATTATTCATTTACTTATGTAAACAGTTCCTTCGGGCAACTGTGTTTATCAATCTATATATTATAAATAATGAAAATCATTTCTAAACCTTTATTACATAAATATCGATTCAGCCTGGGCTACCATCCGCAATTATTTTGAAATTTTAAAATAATATTCCTCCTACAATTGTATTTTTCTTTAAAAAAATTATTACCAAATCGTCAACGATATTTATTCTAGGTTTTTACAAATTCCTTTCTCTTCCTAAAATAAACTAATTATGTAAGTAAAGTAATGTTTAGATTAAAATTATATTTGAAAATAAGTTAAACATATAATTTTCCTATCTCGGTAAAAATAGATATACTATTGTGTACAGAAGATTTCATCATTTGTCAGTGTGATAGTCATTTTCATCACTCGGTCATAGAGCAAAGTCATTTGAGGGAAGCAAGAGTACTAAGATTAAGCAAGAAAACATTTATGATTGTGACTCGTTTCTTGACTCATTTATAATGAGGAATTCTTACCTTAATATGTCTGAACTACTTGTATACTTGGTTTCTCTTCAATTTCAGTGTTGGCCAGTCAGACTTACAGTGAACAGTGAAATAAAACAAAATTTGGACATATATGTTTATGTATTCATTTTTTTAAAACAAACAAGCACGTAAAAAAGAACAATATGTAAAATAAAAAAACATTTAGTTATGCATTTTTTAAAGAATTTTATAATTTACACATATTAGTTAAATAATGTGTAAAAAGGAAAAATATATCAAATTAATTTAATAGAAAAAAGTTAATAAAACTTATTTGAAGTAACATACATATTTAAATTTTCATAAATAAAAATGTATCTTTCTAATCCTTAAAAAAATATATAAAATAAAAATCCATTTTTTTAATGACTAAGTTACAAGTGTAATTATAATGTGTAGTGAGTTATATTGTGTTAATGCATTTTGTTCGTGTTATGTCTCTTTCTTCTTCTGTTTTGGTTAAAGTCTAATCAGTTTGTATTCTGTAAGTTAAAGTAATCAGCATGAAAACTAAATCATGTAATAATTAAAATCAATTTCTAAGGCATAATTCAACCAATTATACGGGGTATAACAGTATTCATAATACGGTTGTCAAAATATTAAACAATTTTTGGAAATGTTTAACAGTTGAAAATTTTCCTTTAATATTATTTTCCCTTCTGGTAAATATAAAATTGGTCACATTTCAATAATGTCTGATTTTTCATGGTATGCTTTTTTGCCATCGACCTCCCCACCGTAGACCCCATACTGACAGACTACAACCATTTAACTATTACACTCATTCAATTGCCAGAAAAGGGGAATTTTGTTGTTCTTAAAGTCTTCCCTAGACTTTGCCTAAAGTCAAAAGGAAAGGCCCAGGGAAATCTAAAAAAAAATCTCATTTTTGGGTTGCAAGATATTCAAAAATGTTAAAATATTTCTGAACCCTTGGGGCAAAATAGGATGTCAAAAAATAAAAAATTAATAAATAAAAACTTTTGTAAAATTGAACATTTCTAAAGATCCTGAATATTAATATGAAAATTCAAAGATAATCCAACCTTTTAAAGGGATAAATTAATTGTTACATGAGGAGTTCAATCTTTAATAATTTAAGGGTAAATCTGCACCCTTGAGAACAAAACTATTTAAAAACATAGCTTTTCAAGATTGCAATTTAAAAGTTCCTTTGGTACAAATTCCATATTTTTAGTGTGCTCACATTTCATCAAATACAATGAAGTTCTCCTAATAAATATATTTTTTAATTTATTTAAATATATCTTGAATTTTTTGTATTAATCACATTATGCACTGACACTTATTTAGTTTTTAAAAAAATTTAGGGTTTGTTTTGTTTATTTTTATTTGCTTTAGCATCACACTAGTATAACGGAATGCTTCAGATCTCCCCAGAGTGAGGGGGACTGCGGTGGCCCCATAGTTAGGGCATCTGACTTTGTATTTGCCATGCTAGCAGTTCTGGGTTCTAAATCCCAGCACTGCTTTGATTGATAATTATTTGAAAATTTATTGTAAATTAATTTGACCCGTTGTCCATGACACCCAACATATAATTGCACTAATTCATTTGTTGCCAATGAAACAAATGCTAATACGAATGCTGATTCTATTTCAGTACAAGTTATTTGAATTACAAATAGATAAATAGAAAGTTGACGTTACTTCGAGATGTTTAAACAGATGTTAGCGTTTAAAAGGAAACCGTTTCCTTCTTGACTTGGTGAAATATACATAGTCTGTCAGTTAAAAAGACTTGTTGCAATGATCTCATTTGGTTTTTAGTAATGTAATGTTGTTGTTTTTTTGTTTCATGATTTCACCTGAAAACAACAAGAATATATTCTTAAGCGTTAGAGAGCAAATTAACATACAATTTTTTTCAACTCATTGTTATGAGTTTAAATTAAAATTTGTGAGAGAAAATGTGATAGATATANTGTCTGCCCTTCAGACTTGGATTCTAAACATTTAGAGTGCCTGCCCGTCAGATTTACTCTCTAACCATCTTCAGTGTCTGCCGGTCAGACTTGGTTTCTAACCGTCTTCAGTATCTGCCCTTCAGACTTGGATTCTAAACATTTAGAGTGCCTGCCCATCAGATTTACTCTCTAACCATCTTCAGTGTCTGCTGGTCAGACTTGCTTTCTATCTGTCTTTAGTGTCTTCCTATCAGACTTGGTTTCTCAATCTTCTGAGCTAGTCTGTCTGCCTTGGTTTCCAAGCAAATTCAGTGTTGGAATACGTAAAAGATGCAGCCATTTAAGTTTTTAAACAATATGAAGCTAGTACCAGTAAAATCTGCTGCCAAATAGCAAGTATTGGTTGGGCAACAGGTACACGCGCAGGAGAATGAAGAATGCTCTCCTATAATTTGGCCATGACAGGTGGGATTTTAATAATAATAAACCCAACTACCGAATTGAAGGTCAATGGTGAACTTGATAATTCACCCTCTCCCATCACACATTCATGCTAATAAATACATTCACTCTCAACACAACCTTTACACATATTATTGAATTAAACTAATTGAGGGTCATGGGGTACTTGATATTCTGCCATTAACTGTAAAGGAAGAAAATAGCTTAAAAGAATGTTTCATGTAAATATACATTAAAAAATTCACATTTATCATTGTTATTTTAAATTTTTAAATTGTCGTTTTAAGATTATATTTATATTTTAAAATATGTATTATATAAATAATATTAGAAAACAATTACAAAAGATATGTTGATTAAGTAAGTAAAAATAAGAGTATTTTGTACATATTTAGATGTATTATATATTAATATAATATATTATTATCATTATTGTTTTGTAATGTTTTGTTATTATTATTGCTGTTATTATTATTTTACTATGTTTATAAAACTTAATTTATTTCTAATAATGTTCTTGTGAGGGGTCATAAACCTTAAATAAATAAATACACATACAGAAGTTACATAATTTATATGAAAAAGATTTTATTGTTATAGAAATAATGAAAGATAATTAAAATGTAAAAATAAAATAAAAATAATAATAATAATAAAAGATTTAACATGTTTGTACACTTGATTGCAGAATGAGGAGAAAAAAGATATTTTAGGATATACTATGTATACGTACATATATTGTTGGGAAAATATTGAAATTCCCTCTTTATGTTTATAAAACTAAATTTATTTTTAACATTTGTACATGTAAGGGACATAAAGCCCTATTTGTACAGAAGTTAAATCATTTATTTGAAAAATATATAATATTTTGTTGTTATTAAAATAATGAATGATAATTTAACTTAAAATGAAAACATAATAACTCAAGATTTAACATGTCTGCACACTTGACTATAGAATGAAGGAAAAGGAAAAGATTGATTGTAGAATGAAGAAAAAGAAAAATAATTTTGGGATACTTTATATACGTATATTGATGGGAAAAATATATAAAACTAAATTTATTTTTATCATTTTTACATATAGACATTTAGAAGTTAAATAATTTGTATGAAAAATATTTTATTATATGTATGGTGATTAGTGACCATTAATCGATATTTATTTAGAAATCGTGAGATGCGGTCTGNTTATATTATTTATTTTATTATATATTATATTTTCTTATATTAATATATTTTATTACAATGAAACATAATTTAACTTTAAATATATTAATAATGTGTGGTGTTTAGTGAATGACTAGTGCTTAGTGGAGACCGATGTAAGTTCAGAAAAACATTTTCTTTATTGTACCAATTTTTCAATCTTTATTGAGATCATCTTCAGGGCCTTAGAAACATTTTTTAAATTATACAAATACATGTAGGATGTGCAAAAATGAATTTATAATTTAGGAATTTAGACTCATTCACAGTATTTGTACTCAATCAAAGTCAACTCAATCAAGTATTTATTTTCTGAGTAGGTTCTATAGTCAAAAGTCATGAGTACAAATACTTTGAATGATTCTAAAATTTCTATCATTGTATAAAATAATTTTTTCACATCCTACATGTATTTCTATAATTTAAACAATGTTTACAAATCCCAGGCCCTGAAGATGATCTCAATAAAGATCGAAACGTTGGCGCGATAAAGAAAATGTTTTTCTAAACCTACATCACACCAGACCATATCGCACGATCTCCAAATAATACATAAATAATAATTAAAAATTTAACATGTCTGCACACTTGACTGTAGAATGAAGAAAAAGAAAAAGTATTTGGGGATATACTATCATGTATATTGATGGGAAAATATTAAAATTCCCTCTTTATATTTATGAAACTAAATTTATTTCTATTATATGTACTTGCAAGCGGTTTAAAGCCCAATTTCTATCTTTGAAATAAATAAATACACTTACAGAAGTTTATTTATATGAAAAATATTTTATTGTTAAAGAAATAATGAAAGAAATATAAAATGTTGAGTGTGGCACCGTTCTTGCTGTGGAACTCCATAATGGTGTTTTTTTTTTTTTGTTTTTTTTTTTGGTTAAACCTGCTGGAACTAAAGGCTTATATTTATTAATAAAAAATACCAAAGATATTATAACTTAAAATGTATACATAATATTTCAAGATGTAACATTTCTGTACATATTTTGATGGGAAAATATTGAAATTCCCTCTTTTGGCGTGTGATAGCTGTTGAGTGGTGGTTGTGGTGGTACATCTAGCGCTCAGTAATTCGACTGGATGTGAGCGAAACTGAGTTGGGCCCGGCCAGCGGCTGGCACATTTCAGTCGACTCCCAGAACTCTCCGTTCACGGAGAATGAGTGCTAGACTTCCGGCGATTCAAAACAACAGAAACATCGTCTTGAGTCAATTGTGTGTTTACATGGAAATAATGACGGTATTCGGGCAGTGAACTCTAGGCTGATGGATGGTAAAGAAAATGTCCAAACAATATTTCAAGTTGAAAACGGGCCTTTTTCAACCGGCCGGAGCGATTTGAAGTTTCGTCCCGTTGAAAATTATTTTCAAGTTGTTAGCAATGGCGGTAACTCGGGCCAGTTCGGCCTCAACCGTCTCATTTTCAGTCGCTCCGGCTTAGTTTCACTTTTAACCGAGCCTCATGCCTTTTTAACTTTAAACATTTCTTCTTGGCTGTCATGTCTTTGAGTGGTCGCGTTAATCAAAACGGTAAAATGTTTATGTAACCTATATTTACAGGTTATGTTTCACATACATCTGATTTTTTCCTCCCTTACAACTTCGTAGAAATTGTTCATTGACGAATTGTCAAATGTTAATTTTTAATTATTAACAGTGTCCGTTTTTTTGGCTGTGCAGATATACAATCATGGTGGGAAGTTCCGAGTATTGCTCACTTTTGTTCCCTCTTTCGTGTAGCGTTTAATCTTCTAGACTTTGACATCGAGGTGAGTTTTATCGTTATTATTCAATTATTTACACGTTTTCCATTCATGCTGTTCATGACCATTCATCTCATTGATCGTACGTCACGTCACAGTTAGAAAAGTATCTGTTCAAATGTCAGTTATGAGTAAAAAAGCCAATAAAATACAAACGAGATAGATGATTCAATTAAGCATTTATTTCCATTTTATAGTGCGTAAATTATTTCTTGTTTGTTTTTATTTAAAAGATTTGCACATCTTGAGACTTATGTTTGCAATAGTTAGCCAATGGAAATGTTGGTTTTATATGTTTTTAAGTTTGACTTGGGAATTTAGTTGCTGTTCTCCCCTCAAAATTTAATCCAAGCCTAAGGAAAAATAGTAAAAATTACACTTAATAGATCTGAGTAATTGTACAGGTAGGTACTGAGTACGGTGTATGTAATCATATGNTTTGAAAAACATCTGTTAAAATGTCTCACATATGACATAATTCATACATCTAATTGAAATTTATTTTCTTCTTTTATAAAGTTGCTATTTGCCCACAAAGGTGGTGTAATTGTATGGAATGATAATAAAAATTACACAATTGATATCAGCAATTGTACATTTATTCAAAGTTTAAAAAGCATCTGTCAAAATGTTTCATGTATGACAATTTGCCATTATAAATCTAAGCAACTAATTGGCATTAATTTTATTTTAAATAATGTAATTTTATGAAATAATAATAATACTATATAACTTTTGGTAATCATGCCAATTCAAAATTTGAAAAAACAACAGTTAAAACATCTCAAATCTGATGATTATAATCCATGTATTTAATTGAAATTTATTTTCTCCTTTTATAAAGTTGCTATTTTCCCGCAAAGGTAGAGTAATTCTGTGAAATGATCGGAAAAATTACAATGGTTTCCGTTGTACTGTAAAATATTGTAACTGAGCCGGAGAAACAGAAAAAGAAATTAGTTGGATTAAACGCGAGCAAGATAAGCAAGAAATGTAGTAAGCTAAGGTAGAAAGGGCTGGCGTAGACCAATGTAGTTTGCCAGCCCTAAAACTAAAAATTAGAAAAAAATTGATTTTGGACCAAAAGTATAAACATTAAAATTGCAATGGTAAATATTTGTTTTAACTTATCCATTTTCACGCCAATGGTGTAGATTTATTTTCTTTATAATAGGGTTGCTAGCCCCTTACATAATATAATTTTAAGAAATCATGCTTAATAGATCTCCATAATATGTTAATGCAGAATTAAAAAATGTCACACCTTTCAGTTTGTTATGCACTTCTTGAGACTTTTGTCATTTTCTTCAAAATCCAATGTAACGAAAGATATTAATCATACGTGTGTGGTGATTAGTGACCGTTAATCGATAATTATTCAGAAATCGTGAGATGCGGTCTGGTTGATGTAGGTTTCAGAAAAACATTTTCTTTATCATGCCAACGTTTCGATCTTTATTGAGATCATCTTCAGGGCTCAAAGTGGTTGTCTTCTGTGTAATTGTGCCATTCTTGCGTGTCGTGTTGAGAGTGTCCAGTGTGTGCCACTCTCAACACGATACGCAAGAATGGCACAATTACACAGAAGACAAACACTGAACCCTGAAGATGATCTCAATAAAGATCGAAACGTAGGCACGATAAAGAAAATGTTTTTCTGAAACCTACATCACACCAGACCGCATCTCACGATTTCTGAATAATTAATCATATGTTAAATCAAAGTTTGAAAGGCATTTGTTAAAATTTTACAGTTAACATAAAAATCAATTTAGCATTTTTGCGACTTAATACAAATAGATTGTCAGTTTTGTTTAATTTTTTTTAAAACTTGAGACATGTAATCCATTTACATAAATTATTTATTTATATTTTTTTAAACGCCTATTGCTTGCAATAGCTATCCATTTAGACTTTTAATTGTGAATATTTTTTATGCATTATAATTATTCAATTAATTGTGTAACTGTTACAAGCTAAATCTCAATATGTTATACAAAATAAATTTAAATTAATACGAATTCCAGTAATAATTCGTGTAAATTGACAGATAGAAAATCAATATCTTATCAAATATCAATTTACATAAATAATTATTTAAAGGCAATTTATGTATTGCTTGCATATTATTGCAATTAATTAATTAACTTTGTACTAAAGGGTGTGTTCATTATAGATTTATCGGTTGACGCAATATTTTATTATTATGATTTTCATAATTTCATAAATACTTCAGTGCGTTTTCTTTGACAATTAAACAAAATGCTTATTGCAAAATACATTTAATTTTTAATTTAGGACATTTAATTCTGTTAGTTTGATACAAAAATATTATTATAATTTATTTGAAAATTTTCATTTTGTCAGTAACTTAAATTAATCTTTTATGTTGGATTTTAATTTTTTAGGAACTGGAGGAAGCTCTACTTACAGATGGAACAGAGTTAAATGGTAGTTCATTACTTCAAGATCTCATCGTCAGGCTTTTAAGCGGGTGCCTTGGCCACAATGGAATATCCACGTTCAATTATCAGATGTTTCTTCGGAGGTTGTTCAGGACAAAGTGCAAAGTAAGATGATAATATTATCAAATAGAGTCATATATACTCTATAGTGCAGTATGAATGTTTTTATCGTATTCTCGTTTTAGGAACAAGGAAGAGAAAACCCTTTCAATACAGACATTGATTTTCAATTTCTCCCTTTGCGAACCAAGGTTGAAATACTTCATACACTTTGCGACTTTCGTCTAGATGCCGATGATGTTATAGACGTTTTAAAGGTTTTTTTTTTAAATGTTTAAAGAATTTTTTTCATGTTGCTGTCACTTGTTTTTAACTTTAATGCATTTACAGAATTTGGACTCGGATAGTTTAAGAGTTCATCCGTTGGGCCACGATGAAAATAAATCAGCCTATTGGTATTTCTATGGGACGAGACTTTACAAAGAGGATTATCCCAAGGTGAATTGAACAAAAAAATTTCAATCAATTTTTTTAAATTAAAGAAACTAATTGTCTGTACTGTTGTTTGTTTATTGGCACAAACACACCAAACATAACTAATAAAACATCAAAACTCACACTCTTCCTCATAATCCAATAAAAAAAGCATGTAAGACAAGGTGAATGCTTTGAAAACTTCCAAATAAAATACTTAAGATGAAGACACCACACTGAATAATCTACCGCCTTCATCTCTTCAACAAAACTGACTTTTACAGAATCTACTTAAAGGATAAACACTTAAAAAACTGTCCAGACTTAAGTAACTTATTTAACTAACTATAAAATGAAATTTGAAGAATCAATATAATTAAAAAAAAAATTCAATGCTTTTAGACTAACAATGATGCTTCATTTAAAAACAGTAATTTTACATTCTCCGCTATATTTATTTACTTAATTTTTATGGATATACATTCACATTATATAAATTATTTTCATGTATGCTTATAATTTTTTTTATTTATGTTAGAAGCGACGAAGAAAGAGAGATCACGATAAAAGGTCAAAGAGGAAACGGGCTGACGAATCGTCTAGCGATGACGAGACGGAAGAGGTTGGAAGTTCGATGGGTATGGGAACGTGGAAAGTCATGTGCTACACCGAGGAAGACTGGCAGAAACTAGCCGATTCGATGGCCGGTTCGACTTGCAAGGAAGAGCGAATCCTCTATTCCGTTCTGTCCGAAGATTTTTTGCCAGAGATTCCGAGGCTTTTCGAAGAGAAGGAAAGGCTTCAAAGGAAGCGACTGTTGGAAAATCAGCCTAGACGACAGTCGAGACGATTAGAGAAACTCAAGTTCCAAAAAACAGAGCAAGACACAAAAAATAAAAAAGATAGATATTACGATAGGGAAGTTGTAAATAGGGAGAAATATCTTCAGAGAGTCAAAAAATGGTAAGTTGTATAAAAAAAATACATAATTTAATGCACTATATTATTGAGTGTGCATAAGGTTTTTCGGTTTTCTGAAAAAAAGTCAAACTTTCAAAACATAAATTTATTTTATTTTTAATCCAAAACATAATTTTTTTGTTGTATCTCCTTTTTGTAAAAGTCCAGTGACTAAGAGGAAAAGAAATCTGTAAGTCCAATTTTCAAAAATTCCTTAAATTTTTAAATAGTTGTTTAGGGAGCAAAACAAATAAAAATCGGAAGAGGCAAGGCCTGGAGTGATGGTGGGTGGGATGACTTACTAGGGGCAAGCCTAACTGCCTTCAACAATGACAAAGATGCTCTAGCCGGGCACATGATACCTGCCGTAAAGGTTTGGTTGTGTGGTAACAGTTCCTAATAAATTATTCCTCAAATATTCCACCAAACAGACAATAGAATGAGGGTGCAATCCTGCTCTTGACGTCAAGTTTCGTTCTTGCAATTCCAGTTCTCAACTCAGGTGACCAAATAGAAATAAACCCTTCCGATTTATTCTTATTCAGGTGTGAAATGCAACAAGCTATACGGTGTTATCTTCCTTGATCCTGAGGGATAATTCATATATCACCTATGAATCGAGTTTAACCAATTGGATTCTTCTTTTTATTGTTATGCAATATACCTGAAATTTCTCTGATAGCTCTGCTACTTGGTTTGCTGGTGCAAATATAATGCAGGTTTTGAAAAGGAGTGAAAACTATTTTTAATATTTATAAAATAAAGAAAATTTATTCAAAATATTTTCCATCACAGTCTATACATTTCTGCTAACGTGTACTAAGTGCTTTTATTACGCTGACATAAAAATCTTTATTTGATTCCCAATAACAACTTGGAAGCCGTTTTTGGCTTCACCGGGTTTTCTAAAAATTTTATCCCTCAAGAATTGATCAAAATGCCTAAAAAAGTGGAAGACTGTAGACATGTCGGTTGAATATGGAGGGTGAAGTAAGGCTTCATATCCCAAGTACTTAAGCTTCCACAGGGTTGACATTACGACATGTGGCATGGCATTATCTTGAAGAAGAACCAGCCCCTTACAGTTTACCAATACTGGGTAAAGACGTTGCAGTTTCCTGAGCAGTTTGTCAGTGTCGTGACAATATTTCTCTGCTGTGACATGTTCACCATAATTCAGGAAATTATAGTAATAACCCCAGAATTTGGTTTCGGGAAGTATTTTGGCACGTCATCTATGGCCTATTATCGTACAGAATTAATTTCTCATCACACGTGATGATTCGTCTGAGAGATGGGTAATTTTGGTGGCGCAACAGAAGAGACGTGCAAATTTCAAAGCGTCAATTTCTTTGGGTTTTGGTTAGCTTGTGCGGTACCCAGATGGCAAACAACGGTTGAGTGGTCAACAATAAGCTGTTCGGAAATTACACAATCAACTATGACAGAAAGGCCTATCGTGACCTTCCCTGTATTCAAGATCGAAATCTCTGCATCATGCTTCCCTCACCCCATACTGTATTGATGCGGTTTGGGCCGCACTTCACCCAAGTTTAAATTTGTACAAATAAATTTGACGAAAATCTAGTTTGGACATATTTAATTTGGCAGGTCCTCACTCTTATAAAATTTGGTATCAACTAAAATGTTTTGTCTAAAAGATAAAAGTATTTATTTTAATTCATAAATTAAATTGGAGGATTTAGCCTTATTTACAGAACAAACACCTGCAAAAATAAAACAAATTTTTAAAACCTGCCTTAATTTTGCGCTAACACAGTGTGAGGATCGTATGTTTAGTATTTAGGATCGTATTATGTCTTTTTTTTTAAATGAACAATATTATGTTCAGTTGTGTAGGATACAGTGACTTTATAAGTAAAAAAATACTGTCATGATAAAAGAAAGAAAAAAATTTTTGGTGGATTTTTTTGTTTTTCCAGATTTTTTTCACATCAACCCAATACTGCTATGCAAAATGATAAAAATCATATCCCCATTATACTCCTTTCTTTTCCCCCTAAAGCAAAGAAGGCTAAAATAACGGCTGAAACATCTGGTTTCCAAATTTTGTCAAAGAAGGATTGGAAACCAGATGTTTCAGCCGTTACTTTAGCCTTCTTTGCTTTCTTTTTCTTGTTTCGGTTTTTTTTTTCTAACCTCTTCTGTAACTTCTTCACCTTCAGCAACTTAACCTTCCGCCGTTTTATCTGATAAGTGATAAGCGTCCTCCCAATTTTTGCAAACATACAATCCTCACAACAATACAAAATCCTCATCCTCCAATGCCTCTAATGCATCATTAAATCAGCTTGTTAGGCTCTCCACAATGAGGCTGGTCTTTGATTCGTCTCAAACGTATGAACCACTGTTGATTCATATGTTTAGTTATTATGTTATCTCTGAACTTGCTAGCAGTAAGAGTGTCCTCAGCAGGGACAAAATCTCACTGCCGGATTGTGACTAGTGTTTAGATGGCTGTGAGTTCGGTTATGATGATGGAGATAAACTGTGGGTGGTGGCGCTATGCCTCAAATTTGCTTCTATGTCATGCATCACAAAATCTATACTGACTTTCGGAATCAACTACACCTTTATCGTCTTTATAAGGGTGAAAGTCGAAATACGAAAGAACACGCACACGCCCAATATTTTGTTAGTTATAATAAATTTTTATAATAATTGTAATAGTTATATGGCCAGCATTATACTTATGACTTTATTATTATCGATCTGGCAGCATTTCTAAGCCTGCAAAGAGGTCGAAGTCAACTGTGTAAAACGATTTTTGGATGTAATGATTTGCTGGATAGAACGTTTCATTTTTAAGTTGACTATTGGAAACTCTGAGCATGGATTAGACTTGAAGATCTGATCCAGTAATCTAATATCCAATAAAATATTGTTGTATCCAGCAATTAAACAGTAATGGGCCATTATCCCAGATCTGCTTATAGGCTATATGGAAATGTTTTAAGGTGGATTGACCTTAGTGGAATTTACCATCTTTTGGATTTTTCCAGTTAAACTTTATTTAGGCCATTCTTATGAACATCCATATAATGATCATAAAAACTATTAATTAGATTATTATTTATGTTTTTGTTTTTATAAATCACTACTATAAAATTTTTGTCCGCAGTCGAGAAGAGCGTCAGAAAAGGGCTTTGGGAAGATCAAAATCAAGATCTGACGACGATAGCGCATGCAGGGAGGGCAGTTCATCCGTGCTTCCAGCTGGTCGCCAGACAAACAATTCCCTCTCGTCAGCAACTGGTGCCATTATAATAAAACCCTCCAAGCAGAAGTTTCAAGCATCACAACTGTAAGTCAACCCACTTAAAAAAAAAAAAAAAAAAATTGAAGTTACAAATTTTTAGTATTATTTGGACAAATTAGCGTATTTTTGAATGATTGATTTAAATTATGCGACAATTTCCCTCCTTGGCCCATTACTTTTGTCGATGAGTTAATCCCACAATTCATCTGTTGTTACGACAAAAATTAAACTGAATTTGCTTTTTTCTTCAAGACCATACCTTGATCCAAGAGTGTTCATGAGTGAAAAAGTGGTCAAAAACAAAAATTCAAATTGAACACATCGACATGAAGTCGAAAAGTGATTAGTAGTTCAACACAATGAACAGAGTTCATCCGCTCATAGACCAACTGACGCCATCAACTTCAGTATCTGTTGTACAGTTGTATGTGGAACTGAATGCTTACTGTACACCCAGAAGACAGTTTCTAACCACTTACAAATTACAAGATGAAAGAAAGCTCTGTATTACCAGGTGTAAGGGGGGAACACACCCAATGCAACGCGACGTGACATGACCTAAAGCCACCCGTCTGGTCTCAATTTGGTAGGGTGTGCACATCGATTCGACGTCCAGCGCACGCAATGTAGTCATACAGTATCACAAATTAGTATCACAATTGCAAACCCTCTTTTGTTCTTAATGGATTATTTTGAGCATGTTTTGACCATGTAATTGTTAGTTACATTTTTGAGCACAGCCATGTTATAAATTGTTAGTTAAATTTAACTGTTTTAAATAAAGTTATTCCGGTGTTTTGATAAATTTTCTGCTTAACCATCATAATTAAATAATTTTGGTAAAAACTCATGAATTTTTGATCTCATTTAATTTGGTTTACATTGCATATTGTAATTAATATAATGACAAAATTACATATATATAGTTTTAAATAAACTACAAAAAATATGAGTGTCTGGTTCTTCTGATGCTACTTGATGAAAATGGTGTAATTTTATGAGCAAAATCATGTAATAAATTGTTAGTAAAATTTTATGAACAAAACTATGTAATAAATTATTAGTTAAATTTTATGAACAAGACCATGTAATAAATTTTATGAACAAAGACGTGAAATAAATTGTCAGTGAAATTTTATGTGAAAAACCACATAATAAATTTTTGGTTAATTTTATGAGCAAAACCATGTAATAAATTGTTATTTAAATTCATTCTATCAATAAATGGTATTCCAGTGTTTTGATAAATTTTCTACCAAACCATTAAAATTAATTTAAAAAACAAAAAAAACACGAATTTTTGACCTTGCTTAATTTGGTTTATATTAAAATAAGTATGTTGTAATTAATGTAACGACAATAATACATATAGTTTGAAATAAAAATATGACTGCCTGGTTCTTTTATCTTTGTACTCGATGATACTCGACATAAATCTGGGCAATGGGCTTCGCATAGCCTAGAGTAGGGTAGTGTTGCGTGGCATCAGGCAGATGTGCACGGGGGTAATATAATCTTATGGAAAATTGGACATTGGACTTGCATCAGGTGGCTTCGGGTCATGTTGGTCAGCTTGGGTGTGTTCTCCGCTGTAAACTTTGGAGCATCTCACCTTTTTCATTCTAACAATCCAAATCATTCTACAAGATCCTCAAACCTCAACAATCAACTTAATCTTTATCCTGGCACTCTACTTGATAATATTTTTTTCCAATATTTTTTTATTACAATCTATAATTTATTACAATATGTAATTTGATGAATATATATAATCATTAAGTCACCAATCCAGTAAATGAGGTTATCCCTTGGCTAATTACCCACTAAAGTCTCTTGTGGTTATTCTTTTACCATTTTGACTTTGTATTGGGTTGGTGCAAAATTAATGCAAGTATTGAAAATTTGTTTTATTTCCACAGGTATTTGAAATGTAAACAAAGCTAAATCCTCAAATCTAATTTATGGATTATTATAAATAATTTTAACTGTTAACTTTTATACAAAGCATTTTAGTTTATATTAAATTTTATAAGAGTGATAACCTATGAAATTAAATATGTTCAAACTAGATTTTCATCAAATTATTTGCACGAATTTAAACTTGGGCAAAGTCATCAATATGTTTGGGGGAAGGGAAGCATTAGGAAATGCATGGTGAAGCAATGGTTTCAGAGATTTTGTCTTGTAGATTTTGATCTTGAAGACAGGGAACATCACAGTATGCCTTCTGTTGTGGGCGACCAGCTTAAAATGTTGACTGAAGAAAATTTATATAAGACAATATGTAAAATTGCGGAAAAGCTTAGTGTTGACCACTCAAGCGTTGTTCAGCATCTGGAGAAATTGGTAAAGAAAATAAGCTCGACATTTGGATTCCTCCCGAACTAACCAAAAGCCATAGAAATTCATGCTTTGAAATTTGCACGTTTCTTCAGTTGCGACACCAAAATGATCCAATTCTCAATCGAATCGTAATGTGCGATGTGAAATGGATTCTGTATGATAACAGGAGGTCAGTTTTGTACAAGGACGAAGCACCAAAATACTTCCCGAAACCAAATCTGCACTTAAAAACTGTTTGCTGGTGTACTACTGAGGTTGTAAGCTATAATTTGCTGAATTATGGTGAAACTATTGAAGCAATATTGCCACAACACTGGCAAAATGCACGAGAAACTGCAATGTCTGTCCAGCATTGCTAAACAGAGAGGGGCTGGCTCTTCTTCACGACAACGCCATGTTGTAACCCTGTGGAAGCTTAAGGACTTAGGATTTGAAACCTTACCACACCCTCTATGTTCGCCCAACTTCACACCTCCACTTCCACCTTTTTAGACATTTTCATCCCTTCTTGAGGTATACAATTTTGGGAGTACGCGGATAAGCTGAAAATGCCTTCCAAGACTTTATTGTCAATCGAAATAAAGATTTTTATGTTAGCAGAATAAAAGCGCTTATTACAAGTTGGCAAAGATTTATAGATTGTGTTGGAAAATATTTCGAATAAATTTTCTTTAGTTTATAAAAATTAAAAATAGTTTTGACTGCCTTTTCAAAACCTGCATTATTTTTGCACCAGCCCAATAGTTTGGTCATAACCGATCTTTCGATCTTGCTTATCTTAAATAAACCAGTAAGGCAAAATGGCCAAATTACAGGCTCATCATGTAGCAGACTGCATAGCGAATTTTGACTGTAGTTTGGTCATTTTGGCCCTGCTTAAACTAAATGATTTAACCAATCCAGTGAGAATCCTAATGACCAAATTACACACTCATCATATGGCGAAATCATAATTATGACTTAATTTATTTGACTTGAAATGCATAAAATTTTCGTTAACAAATAGATTTAAAAAAAATCTTATATCTGTATTTTTGTAAAATAAAGGTTTAGAAGAACTCGTGAAGATTTAATGACGGGCATGTATAAAATACTGGATAGAGTGAAAGCTGATAGCGACTCTTGGCCTTTTCGGGACCCAGTAGATGAAGCATACGCCCCGAAATATTATGCAGTGATCGCAAGGCCGATGGACCTTCAGACGATGGAAGACAAACTGGACAATGGAGAATATGGGTCTTTACAAGAGTTCAGAGCCGATTTTCAACTCATAGTTGACAACTGTCGACAGTATAACGGTTCATCTAACGGTAAATGTCTTTTTATTTACATTGTAAATATGAACGTAGTCGATAATTTAATTTTTTCTTTTTGTTAGAATACACTGAAATGGCTGTCAACATGCAGCAACTGTTTGAAGCATCAATTGAAAGATATTTAGACTTAGATGCAAGTTCAGATGATGAACTGTCAACATTTAATCGAAATTATTTAGAAGAAGAAGAAGATATGGATGACGATAGTCTTGGAAGTTCTTTAACCCCCTTAATGAACGGGCCAATGAGGTATATTTCCTTTTAGTAATTGATATGAAATTAATCATTAATTTTAAAAGAATAATTGACATTTTAATGTAACTTTTCTTTTTGTAGGAGTGACAGGAGTAGAAGTCTCAGTAGCATTAGCAATGGTACAATATCTGACCAGGATTTACAATATTCTGACCCAAGGGAAAAAGATTCGTTGAAGCTAGGTAGAAACAAGAGAAAAGTCAAACGGAAGAAAAAATTATATCCAGATTACATAAGCAGTTTAGACGAGGACAGCATGGATACGAGCCAAAGCCCTATAATGCAAAAGAAAAAGCCCAAACGGATTCTGGACAAGGGCATGAAAAAACAACAGCAGAACAAAAAATCAGCCGAAACTAGAGATTCCGAGAGCAAAGACATAAGCAGCAGGTTAAACAGCAGTAGGGACACGAGCGTCGAGGATAGAAGCAAAGAAAGAAGTGAAACAAGCTTAGAACGGACAAGGCCTAAAATAAACTATAACGAACAGTATTCTAGCCAAAGTGATCTCGTTAGCGATAGCTCACAATCTGACGATAGTTTTACAGATAAATTAAAAAATAAACATGCCAACAAGAAACCAGTTAAAAGAGCTGGGGTTATTAAAAATTTAGAGGCTCTTGAAGCTCTGGAAGTAGCTACTGAACAAACACTCAAGGTAGTTTATTATAAACTTGTGATTAAGAAAATAAATAAATAATTCTTTTTATGTAATGTTTTGGTTGAGATGAAAAAGTTAGCGCCATGAGTGGGATTCGAACCCATGACCTTTGGCTCAATACAACACTGATTTAACTATTTGAGCTGACTTTTTCATTTCAACTAAGACCTTACATAAAAAGAATAATTAATTGAAATTAGTAATTTGTTCAATTAGACCACTAAACAAATGATAAATAAATTGTATTGAATAATTTGTTATTGTAGGATATTAACAAATGGTTAGATGAGACACCTAAATTTTCCGATTTTTCGTCAAATTCAAATTCACCTCTTCATACACCCTTTCCTGAAGAAATGGCTAGCTTGGAAGGAGAATACAGAAGGCGGTTACATATGGACAGACCGATTCGGCCAAGGGATAGGTTTTCTAATGTAAGTTATTATTTTTTTTTTTTAATAGAAAATATTTTTGGGCGACACTTTTATTGTACTGCACATAACTGATTTTTATATTTGTGTTACTTTTTTTTTTCAGGATTTGCATAGAAGGCGTCTTTTTAAAGAGCAGATGGGTCTAAAGAGGAGAAGAGAGATCCAAAGGACGATTGACAGACTGCAGCCAGGAAAAAGCAAGGGGAATCTCCTTTCTAAAGAGAATTTACAGGATAATTCGAACAATGAGCCCAAGTTTCAAGTCAACATCTTTAACGATAGCACTCCTAAGATAAGTCTAGGGAAAGTATTAGAAACTGACGTTTTAGGTTTAGGAATAGGCGAATCTCCTACTGTTGTGAAAAAAGATTCTGATGATGACTGTACACAAGATAAGCTAATTATAGAAGAAGATGGAGACTTCATTGATGAAAAAATGTCTAAAGAGGAGGAAGAATCAAAACCAGAGAGTGAAGTGGTGCTCGAAGAGAAAAAAACAGAACCAGAACCGCAAGAGCAGAAAAAGGAAAAACCTACTCCAAACTTGAGTGCTTGGTTTAAAGCTTTTGGAGCACCTAAGGCGCCAGTGAACAAAAAGAAAGTTGAACAAGAAGAATCAAAATTAAATGAAAGGAAATCTAAAGATGATGATTTAGGCGAAGATGATAAGAAATCGCATGGCTTCGATATGGAACTTCCAGCTAGAAGGCAGAGGAAAGCCAGTACAGGAAGTAGTGTTTCTGAACGTTCTTCATTTAGCCAGGAGCCGGCAGACCATTCACCCAGACCTAGTTTAGATGAACCGTACTTATCTCCACAGCAAGATATAAGTAAAACATATCACCCTTCCCCAATCAATGGTACGATAAAAGTAGGATTTTACCAAGATACTTGTTTTCCAAGGGGTTCTTCAGAGAAAAGTGGATCGCCTCGAGATATGCCGAATTGTTCTCCAAAAGAGCTTTCTGGTGCTAGTCCACATCCTTCATATCACAGCCCAAGAAGTGCGAATATCAGTCCTAGAGATTATCGTAATTCGAGCCCCCATAGGCCGTACAGTCCCAGAAGTCAACCTATTTCGCCCAACGATTATGAAAACAGCCCACGAGAGGTGTTAAACGCAAGCCCCCATCATTATCATCAAGACCTTAACAATCCTCAAGAGCATATTGTCAATCATCTTCAAAGAGAATATAAATATCGCGAATCGAGTCAGAGATGCAGGGAAGAGATTCCTCCTAAAAATGAATATCCACCTTACAATTCAGCTCCTCATACTTCGGCTCATGTGTACGGCGGAGTTCCATCGATTCCATCCCATTTGAGTTATTACGACACGAATAAAACGACTGAAAATTTCCGCAATGCAGAGAAGTCATCAGTACCGATTTATCCTGTTAAAAAGAGAGCGTATAGTGAAATTGACAATTCTAAATCTTCTGAACAGTTGCCTGTATACAAGAGTAGTGGAGGATCTTTTACTCCTACGAGGGAAGCCATGGAACAAGAAAGGACATTTACGCCGACACCAGGAAGGATTCCCGGGCCTTCACAGCCTCTCCGAGTATCAGATTCCATCCCGACAATGAGCATTCATCATCCGTTACAACATCATCTTTTAGATACGTATGCTGAAGAAAGGCATCTTTCATCGCCATATTTCTCCAGTGATAACTATGCTAAAGTGCAAGGGCGTTCTCCACATCCGTTGTATCCTCAGCCAACTAATTTTAGCCTTAATCACGATGTTCCGCATAATTTAGAAAGGAATAAGAAAGATGAAGTGATGAATAGGGTGATGAGGGAAAGGAGTAAATCACCACATACATCAGAGACTTATAACCAATCGCCTCCAGTGCTCAATTACACTAGTAGAAGTATATCACCGTTAAAACCTCCTTCGCCTAGTTCTCCACTACCTCTCAATTTCTCAAATTGTGATAATTTAAGTAAGACTAGTGTAAGTTCATCTAAACTGACAGATTCGCGAGTTGAAGAAATGTCGGGTTTATCGTATAGTAAAGTAACTTCAGGAGAAATTCTCCAAAGTAAAAGAAGTCCTTCTTCTCCGATTTCTTACACCACGAATCGATTGAATGAAATGATTCCTCCGAAAGTCAGCTCGCCGTATAATCGTGCTATTACCGATTTACCGCATGGTATAAATTACAACAGCGGACAAGATTTAAGCAAGATCAGTCTGGGATACAGCAACCAGTCTGAGCTTCTTGCGGCAAAAATGAATTACAACCATCATCAAATGGCAGAATTGATGCAGACCTCGAGATACAACTATCCTGAGATAATGCAAGGTAAATCGGTTTACAGCCATACCGCGATGCAAGAATTCATCAATGCAAAGGGCTCTGCGTACTCTAATATGATACCGACAAACCTTACTAGTTACAACAGGTCTATACCTGAGATTATGCAGGGCAAAGTCACTTCTGAAATACCCCCACGAGAAGTAGTCTACTCCCCTCGGAACATACCCGTGAATAAACCCGAAACAGTCAAATCGAAGAAAAGTAGGAAGAAAAAATCTGAAACAGTTTCAGGCTTTCACCAGTATGTTGCTCCTTCATCCGCAGAGCCTATATCCTTAAAGACGAGTAGCGTCCCGGGCAGTGCCTTCAATTTCGGCCCGCCTTTGAAAGAAAGCTATGGGTCTTATTTAGACGACATTAGGTCACCTTATTTCACACCTTCCACGGAAGGAGGCACAACGAAAACAGCGCCACATACAACCGCCCCATACTTTCTAGGCCATCCTCCTAGTCGCGCCAGCTATCCTCATCCTTTTATGAACACCCAGTATCCCCAGTTGTTACACAGGCACCCCGAAGAACTTTTAAGACCAATGGTACTTCACCAAGGGCTTATCCCGCCACCGGCCGGCTATCCGCCAGGTTATATAATGCATGATACTATAAACAGGCACTCTTGGTTATGAGCATTGTAGCTTCTATCTTAAACTACAGTTTTATTACAATAATCGCCTAAATTGAAGTTGTTAAAAGTTTTGAAATTACAAAAAATTGTTTTTTTTTTTTGCCTTAAGAACATTATTTTTTTTAAAGATTAAAGGTTGTAAGTGGCTCTTGATCCTCCCTTATCACCCTGGTCTTTGAGAGCAGCAGATAAGCAATGATGATCAGGGATTGTTATAAATTATGATATAATTAATATCATATTTATATAACAATTACACAAATTGACCTTCAAAACTCAATCCTAAGTTTTTGTATTCTTTCTAAGTTCATTTTTATAATATTGACTGGTCATTAAAAAGTAAGGGAATTTTTTTTAAACTTTTAACAACTTTATAAGGAAGATCCATCGTTTGCCTTATTAAATGCAATTGGATATTGTGATAGTGGACATCAAATGTTGTTCCTTTCAAAATAAAATAAGTAACAATGTAAATAAGAATTGCAACCAAAGATGGTTTACAATAATGGACCAAACACTCCACATGTACAAAAACACTAATAGATATAAAATTGTATAGGGTTTCTTTTTTTAAATATTTAATTATATCAATAATTATATATATAAAATATGTATATATATTATATTTACACAATATATTGTTCCAGTTATAAGGGGTGTGTGTATATGTATTATACATGCCCACACGTATATCTACTTACATATATTGTATGTATATTGTACAGTAAGTTATGTTTATCGATTGTGCAAATAGTACGTTGTAGATCTTTTTTTCTCCCAGAAATAACATGTTAATACTGTAAATTTTTGAATTAAATGAAAAACTTTTAATTTTTATTTTTGCTTCTTTTTTTTAAATTATTTTGAAACAAAAACTGGAAAGGACAAGGTTGAAAAATAAATTGAATCGAAGAAGAGCTTGGTTTGTTGTTTACTAATAATTTGATGTCTGATTCACAAAATATAGAATAAAATGAATTTTAATAGAAAATAAACCCTCGATAATTTATTTAGCTGTTGCAATTCAGTTTATTATTAAGTTCAATGAATTAAAAGAACTTTGTCCTCTTATTAAATTGTTAATTTATGTTTATAAATTAATTTTCTTTAAATGCCATGCATTTGAGTTTTAAGTTGGTTAATTTTATTCCCTGAGTATCGACAAATTCTCGGGACGTTTTGTATTTTATTATTAATAATCACAGTGTAAAATAAACAAAAAACATCAGTTTTGATTGGTGTAAATGTTTTGCTTTGAGAAAAAAAATATATTAAACAATAAATATTTACGTATGAGCTCATAATTTTAGGGAAAATAATAATCACCTATCTTTGTAACAACTGGAAAATATTATGTCGTACCTCTCATAAAGGAAATGTAGTGCTTTTTTTTGGGGGGGGGGCACATTGATGGCTGAAGTGAAGAAATGTTAAAAATCGGTTTTAAATTAACTAAATCAGTTTGATTATTTTGTTTATGCTTTTAAATAAAGGTTCGGATTAAAAAAAAAGTAAAAAAATAAGAGATCTGTAAAATGTAATTCCAATGGAATTAGCTAACAAGATTTTCCTTACGATCATGGAAGTCTGTCAATTCTTCCATGGCGAATGGAAATAGAATCCTGACATGAAAACAATCTCAACTTAAAAAAAAAAAGAAACAATATGTAGAAACTTATTATTTATTATGCATATAACCATTTTGTATTTCATTTCTGCATACAAATTGATGTATTTTTGTAGGATGTTTTAGAACAAAAAAAAAACACTCAGGGATAAGGAATTTTTTTTCTATCTCACACCTGAGATTGCTTCTTGCGATGCAAGATTCACACGATTTCGATCCCAGTCAGCTTGGGAAACTCAATATAACAAATGGATTTTTGTTTATGTTTATAACACAATTATTGTTTTCAAGATTTATATATTTTATTATTTAAGTGTATACTAAACAATAATGGAAAATAACAAGTTTAGTATAAATACTGTTGCAATAAATACAAATCTTTTTTACAATTTTTGTCCAGTAATTTTCATTTTTATGTTAAAAGCTTTACCTTACCTGTTTCATGTGTTTTAGTTTTTTCTTTTAATAAATATAGAACCTGGCTGAGTCGTTAGGTCGTCTGATTTGGATTTATCATGCTGGCAGTTCTGGGTCCAAATCCCCTGGAATTTAATTGGTGATAGTTTGGATAAAAAAGTATTGTAAAATGGTTCTGACTCCTTTACACTCATGGACACTATTAGTTCGACACTAAGCCTTCATGTATCAAGAATTTTTTAACTTTTTACAAATTATGTTTACACACATTAATAAATTAAATGTATTTTATGCAAAAACTATTGTACATGTTGATAAACAATAATTATATGCAGTATATAGAAGGCGCAAAACATAGGTCAGAAAGATTGGAATGCCTAGATTATTAACCTAGCCATTTTTAAAAATTCGCACAAATGATATATTTTATTCATTCCGAACTTCAGTTTATTTCTTTAATCATGTCAACTTTCAACCCATGAATCATGAACACTGTCACTCTTATAATTGCCTTGTCTGAAAAATGAACATAAAATTCAAACAAAAAATGATCATAATCGCAAAATTTGAATTATTCTCTCAATTGATTTGATCAGTATCCACCTACTCGCCAAGAATTTCCAAAAAATTGACAGAGTGTGGCCATTCTCGGTTTAAACATTGATTTGTTCAACTTCAAACTCATCGGCTTGCGGGCAGGTTCACGGGGAAAAAATCTAGGGTTTGTCGGTAAGCAATTTCACTCTAGTACTCAATACTGGATGATTCTTCATATTTCAAAGATAAAATTTAAATTGTATATGCTTAAATGAAAAAAAAAATTAGTTCACCTAATTGAACTCACGAGCAATATAAGAACTTAATTCCGAACAGTTGTTGGAGGTAGCATCTTCAACTGATAACATTAAGAACTTAATTACTTCCTGGAGTCTATGTTTTAGGTGAGTATGAACAGTTTGAATAGGCTGCAGTAAGGGTATTCAACTTGGTATAACATGAAGAACTTAATGATTTCTGTCACTTTTTTGGGAATAGGAATTGAGTTCATGTACAACTGAATTAATGTTTGTTGTCACATTTTGGAGTGAGCATCTTCAATTGAGTTCAGCATGTGAACTCATTTATTTAGGGTTGTTGCTTTGAAGACAGGATGATTAATTTATTTCTATCTGTTTATTTTAAAGGATGAATCTGCGATAAAATTCAACATGAACTTAATGTTTGTTGTCACTATTTTGGAGGATCTGGGACTCAATTATTCAGTGTCATTACTACTCTGAAGAAAGGACGAATAACTTATTTCTATCTGCCTATTTTAAGCGATCCTTTTTAAAAAAAGATAGTTCTTACTCACATACATACCCTTAAAGTGTAAAAAAAAGGATTGAACACTGCACACTCCATCATTCACCATTTATATTATTTTAAGCGATTCTGTAATTTTATTTTGGAATAAAAATCACCTATTGAGGTCAATATGAAGAACATAATTTTGAATATGCAGTGTTTTTTTAACTTAAAAGGAATAATCTTCAGTTTAGTTCGATATGAAGCATTTTAAATTTCGAAGATTATTTATTTTAAAGTATAACTCTTCATTTTGGACAATTGAAAATTTGTTTCAACTTGAATCTTTAGTTTAGTTACAGTTGAAGATTTTTTATGTGGGTAGGTATGTTATATTTATATTGTCTATTTTAAAAGACGCATCTTCGATGAGTTCAGCATGAATTTAATGATTGCTGTCACTATTTTAGAATAGTTTCTTAAATTGAGTTCAGCATGTAGTACTCAATTATTCAGGGTTGTCATTAGTGTGAAGAAAGGACAAATAACCTATTTCTATTTGTCTATAATAAAGGACGAATCTTCGATAGAGTTCAACATGTAGAACTTAAGGTTTCCTGATAAAATTTTGGAATAAGAATTTAAATTTTAATTCAGCATATAATAATTATTCTATTTTGCAGAAAGAACGAATAATCTGTTATAATAAAGGACGAATCTGTGTTTGAGTTCCACACGAAGAACTTATTATTTCGGAGTTAAGCTAACAATTTAGAAGGTGTTCTGAACCTTTCATTGAGTGATTTTATTTTCGAATGAGAATCGTCTTTTCAGGTCAATATGAAAAATTTAATTTTTAATGTGTTTGGGATCTGGTTTCTGATCAGGTAGAGAAAGAAGTAGATGTGTGACCACTTGCCAAGCTTTCGGCCTAAAGTCCATCATCAGGGCAGCATCCTATTTCTCATATTGCAGGATTACGAAAAAAACCCCGACGACATCGACTACGAGGTCTCGAAGTACATGAGGTTTGTTTAGTTAAATTAACATGGGTAAAGTACAGGAAGTGAAAAATTTCATTGAGTTCAATTTTTTAATCAAATATTCCAATCAATCTCAACTTCACACCAATTTTGAATAGGAATTTTCAATAGATCTCGAATTAATTAAACTCCAAATCAAATTGTCATTGTTTTCTAATTATAATTACATTTACTCAATTCGGTTGAAGTATCAAAAAATTTATTTGTTTTAATGGCAGGGTGATGTCTACAAGAGCGTTTGTCATCACTTTTCGTCATCGGTCAGTTTCTTGTAATTCCAATGGATTAGACAAATTTGATTTTTTTTTTCAGAGTAGACGGGTTGAAGTGCAAAATCTTCAATTGAGTTTGAACGGGAAGAATTTCATTATGTCTAAGCATCTCTACCTTTCTTCATTTTAATATAATGAACTGAAGACTAATTGCTTTTTATGTATATTTTGGTATCGATTGCCGGGTTAGTATAAAAATGGACAAATCAATTATGACTTGTCCTCCATTATCGAGTTCAAAAATTGATTGAGTCAAAATTTGAAATCTTCATGCTATTGTATGTTGGTATTTTTTTAGATTGTTGAATTTCATTTTAATTATGAGGCAGACTTCATTCTTCGCTATAGCTAGTTATTCTTCTTTACTCAAGAACTTCATTCTTTCCTATAATTTTTGTTCCATGTTTTCTACCAATTAAAATGAATAACTTAATTATATCTGTAAAATGTTGATAGACATGTTGTTGATAGGGTTTAACATTCGACTCAATTATTCAGGTTCGTTACTAATTTGAAGAAAGGGTGAAAAACTCATTTCTATCTGTTTATTTTAAAGGAAGAATCTACGAAAGAGTTCAACATGAAGAATTGAGAAGTTGTCACCATTTTGGAATAAGAATCTTCAGTTCATTTCAGCACATGGCACATTAAGTACGGTCGGTTACTACTTTCACGAGATGATAACTTATTTCTCTCTACCTATTTTAAAGGACTTTGTTAGAGTTGAACCTGAAGAACCTCATTTCTGTCACTATTTTTGAATAAGAACCTCTAATTCAATTCCGCACGTAGTAATTAATATATAGGGTCGTTACTATTTTGAAGAACAAATAACATTTATGTCTATTTTGACGGATTTTGATATCGTTCAAAATGAAGAACTTAATGATTTCTGTCTCAATTGAGTGCGGTATGTAGGACGCAAATCGTTAGGGTCGTTACCACTTTGAAGAAAGGACGACAATTTACTTCTTCCTATTTTAAAGTACTTCGATATGAGTTGAACATAAGGACTTAATGATTACTATCACTATTTTGTAATAAGAATCTTCAATTGAGTTCGACATAAGTACTTAATGAGTGCTGTCACTATTTTGTAATAAGAATCTTCAACTGAGTTCGACATATGTACTTNTCGACATAAGTTAGGCTATAGTGATAAGGCTGTCACTATTTTGCAATAAGAATCTTCAATTTAGTTCAACAAATGGGATTCGATTATTCCGGGTCATTACTACTTTGAAGTTTGAAGAAGGATGCATAACCTATTTCTATCTGTTTGTTTCAAACAGATAGATCTTCTATAGAGTTCGATATGAAGAACTTAATGAGAGTTGTCACTATTTTGGAATAAGAATCTTCAATTTACTGTGGTATGTAGGACGGAAATATTTAGGAACACTACCACTTTGAAGAAAGGACAGTTTATTTCTTCCTATTTTAAAATACTACCATAAGAGTTCGACATGAAGAACTTAATGAGAGTTGTCACTTTTTTGCAATAAGAATCTTCAATTGAGTGCGGTATGTAGGACGCAAATATTTAGGGTCGTTGCCATTTTGAAAAAAGGACAATTTATTTCTTCTTATTTTAATGTACTTCGATAAGAGTTCGACATAAGTACTTAATAAGGCTGTCACTATTTTGCAATAAGAATCGTCAATTTAGTTCAACATATGGGATTCGATTATTCCGGGTCATTACTACTTTGAAGAAAGAAAGCATGACTTATTTCTATCTGTTTGATTCAAATGATAAATCTTCGATAAAGTTCGACATGAAGAACTTAATGATTGCAGTCACTATTTTGAATGAAGAAACTTTTTTTTATTTAAAGGACAAATCTTCGATTATGTTCAACACGAAGAACTTATTTCGATTTCAGCATTATTTCGAAGATCTAGAGTAAGAATCGTACATTGTGGTCAATATGAAGTTCATTTTGAAAGGTTGTAAAAAAAAAACTAATAATGTAGAATCTTCAGTTTTTATTGAATCCGCCAGATTAATGAAATAATGGAATCTTCACATAATGTGCCTGTATATTTGAGATCAAAATCTTCTAGTTAAGATTAGAAACTTCATTCTTTGATAATATTAGTTATTCTTCTTAAGTCAGATTCTTACTATGAATAATGAAAAATTGAATATTTTTATATGCATTGGAGTAAGAATCTTCATTTAAGTTAAACATGAGTTATCAGCGTATTTTCATACTTCTGATGGGTTGATGTTCAGATATTTTCAATGAATAATTTAATATGATCTGGGCATTTTTGTGGCAAGAATAACCAATTTAGTAACTAACACTCAGAAAAATACAGTAAAGTTATTAAATTGAATGAAGTATAAACTTTATCTTATACTCAATTGTTTTTTTTTTCATGTTGATTAATTATTTGTTGAAATTTCTTCCACCTGAAGACTTAAGATGTTTTTGTTTTTCATACAATTTTTTCTGCCCCGGCAGAAAGGGTAAAATCGGAACAATGAAGTCGATTCACGGCCGGCGGATACGTGTCGGTAAAGAACAAGTGAAGAATGAAGAATTGAAGATGGAATGAGAAAAAGAAGAGCGGCGAGTCGGGCCCCCACTCGGGGCACATGACAGACCTGCCTGCGTAGTGGGGCAAGGCGCGACTCTACAATGCAAACCAGAATCCAGAGGCCAGTCTTATTTGTGGCCATGTGGTGTTAGGGTAAATATGATTCAAACGATTATCTTCATATTCTTCTTGCCTTCACTCGTAAAGGTAAGTGACGAAAAGATCCTAGTTTAAATTGTAACTCATACGGAATTTGAATTATGTCTAGTTTTGCACGAATTTGCCATTTTCTTTTACCAATTATCCTTGTCGGTTTATTAATGTTAAAACATTTAATAATAAGAATATTAGATAAGTCTTTTTATTTTGTAAGTTAATAAGTTTACTTGAGCGTTAACTATGGCGATTTGTCTTCAGGCGTCTGTTTCAAGGGTCTGCAAAATTGCCCAATTTTTCTTCTCCTTAAACAACCTAAGGCAAATTTGCATAAACAGAATCTTCCGGATAAAGTCTATTAAGAATACACTGTGATTTAACAAAAAAAATCGAGTACGCCAAAGCTCGTTGATCCTAGAGGTCACGAGCGAACTCAACACTTTGGCCACTTGCTTGTTTTTATTATTTTATTACTTTATTACAACAGTTATATCTGATTGTAAGAATGTGGCAATGTTTTAACAACAGATTTTTAAGTTTTAAGGACCAATAATTACAAAAAAGCTCATGTTTTCCTTAATCTTTTAGAAAAGAAGATTATGGGATTTGTTTGTTATTAGCTTTAGTAAATTTTATTTAAAAAACAAAAACACCATGCAAGAAAAATCTTGTTCTCTTGTAAAATTACTGGCAATGAAATCAAAATTTATTGCCTTATTTAGAGATCGACCCGAAAGGGATTGACTGAGAGGCTGAGATGTAAAGAGAGAATGTTACAGAAAGAAAGAGAAAAGCTTTAGATAGAAAAAAAGTAAACGAGAGAAAGAAAGAAATAAGGACAGGGAAAGAGAGATAGATAGAATGGGTTTGACAGGGAGAAAGAGAAAGAAAGAGATTGTCAGAGAGAAAGAGAGAGAGAGAAAGAGAAAAAGAGAGAGAAGGGGAGAGAGATAGGCAGGGAGAAAAATAAAAATAGAGACTGATAGAGAAAGAAAATGGGATGGGGAAAAAAATAATAAGTAATTGGCTGAAAGCACAGAAAGAGGTAGTGAAAGTAATAGATTGACTGAGAGAAAGATGAGGAGAAAGAGAGACAGTAAAAGAGCAAAGAAAGAAAGAGAGAAAGAGAGGGGGCAGAGACAGAGAAAAAGGGAGAAGGGGTGAGAGATAGGCAGAGAGAAAAATAAAAATAGAGACTGATAGAGAAAGAAAATGGGATGGGGGAAAAGAATAGGTAATTGGCAGAAAGCAGAGAAAGAGGGAGTGAAAGAAAAAGATTGATAGAGAGAAAGAGGGGGAAAGACAGAAAGAGAGACAATAAAAGAGCGAGAGAAAGAGAGACAGTAAAAGAGCAAAAGAAAGAAAGGAGATAGAGAGAGAGAGGGGGGCAGAGACAGAGAAAAAGGTAGAAGGGAAGAGAGATAGGCAGGGAGAAAAATAAAAATAGAGACTGATAGAGAAAGAAAATGGGACAGGGGAAAAAGAATACGTAATTGGCAGAAAGTAGAGAAAGAGGGAGTGAAAGAAAAAGATTAACAGAGAGAAAGGGAGATTGATAGAGAATAGAATTGAAAGAGATAGAAAAGCAGAGGATTGGGGGATTGATTAATTGATAGCGTTTTATTTAGCCCCGCAGAATTGTGGGATTTCTTTGTTATTAGTTTTAGTAAATTGTATTAAAAAATGGTAGAAAAATCTTGTCCTCTTGTAAAATTATTGGATACTGGAAATGAAACCAAAATTTATTGCTTTATTTAGAGATCTTGAGGTGCGGTCTGGTGTGATGCCAACGTATCGGTCTTTATTGAGATCATCTTCAGCGCCTAGGGTTTATAAACATTGTTTAAATTATAAAAATACATGTAAGATGTGAAAATGAATTTATACAATAATGTACACAATATCTGACATTGACAGTGAGTCATCATGACGCTTGGTACGAATGTGAAGATTTTCAAATTATTGAAACTGCGGGTTTTCCAGGATAAGAAACTTTGTAAAAATACTTTCTAAATTGGGGGGAAAAACCCTTTTCGATTATCCTCTTTTTGTCATTGCCTGCGAAGGATCAGCCTAATAGGCGGGGAAAAGTTTAAAAACCACCCTTTAAAAACCAATTTTTCTTTGCCTGGAAAATTAAACCGGAGGATTTGTGCTTGGTGTGCAAGTTTATTTTTGTCCCCCTTGGCCCAGGTATGTATGAATTTTAACGAATATTGTGCGAAGATTTTTAATTATTTATACAGAGATGTTATCTCAGTCACATTTCGTGAAATGATTTACGAGAACAAACTTAAACAATAACTGATAACGTTGTTATAAGGGAAACACAAATATGATTTACCTTTTCGAGTAGAACTTAAATAAAGCATTAAAACTCTTCCCATGTGCTTCGTCTATATTATTTAATTTACAGGATGATAGAGCTTTAAAAACCATCCGATCTGTAGTTAAACCTCGTTACGAGATAATTAGGACAAGAGAAGGTCCAATGCAGTAAACCTTATCTCCTGGGATTATTAGTTGTGTTCTTGCGGATGCGTACATCTCGTAGATGGCATCAGCGGCCAACAATTGCAGATCCAGCAATTGATCAGTTAATAATAGTCTGGAATCGTCCGACCATACACGGAAAATTACCATACGGCACTTTAACTTTCTTTTGACCTACAAATATGGGATACCATTTATGGGATTACAAAATGGGATTAACAAAATTTCACAACAACGGCTAACGAAAAATTGACTTTTATTTTGAAAATTCTGAGGGTCAAGTTCTCAGAAGTTAGTGATAGATAATTAGGAAAATAGAAATGAGGAAGGAGGGATGATGCGAGAGATAGATAGATAGAGAAAGATAGAGATAGCTACATAGATAGGGAGAGAGAGAAAAACAAAGAGATAGAAAGAATATAAGATAATGGAGAAAAAAGTATAAAACATATAAGATAATTAATTAAGGTTTTTAGTTGAGATGAAAAAAAGCTAATGGCACGAGAGGGATTCGAACCCACGACCTTCGGCTAGATACGCCGCTGCTCTACCACCTGAGCTATCGTGACCTCAATCCACTCGGACATCAACTCCCCATCTCAACCGCACCTTATGAGTTTTCCCTCCTTTCGCCATTTTTCAATTTGGTCAAGCGGACCACGAAATTAGTGAATATAAGATAATGGTGAGAGAGCGAGAGAGAGAGAGAGAGCGATAGAAAGCATTCAAGAGAATGGAAAAAAAGAGAAAGAGTGTGACAAAGAGTCAGAAAGAGGTTAACGAAAGAGAGAGATAGAAAGCATGTAAATTAATGGAGAGAGAGCGAATAGAGCGAATGAGAGAAGAAGTGGTGAGGAAAAGAATGGTAAAAGGAGAGATTAAGAAAAAGTGGATGTGTAGAGAACCAGAAAACAAATTGTAAATTTTTATAGTAAAACACAGTGTGAAAGAGATAGAAAGCATACGAGAGAGAGTGAGAAGTGAAAAGAGAGAGAGAGAGAGAGAGAGAGAGAGAGAGAGAGAGAGAGAGAGAAAGAGAAAGGAAAGAGTGAAAGATATTGATTGATTAATTGACAATGTTTTATTTTACAACGCAAAGTTAGGTCTCTTCAACCTCCCTACTATTTAATGAGGAAAAAAGAGAGAGAGAGAGAGGGTGAGAGAGAGTGGAGTGGAGAGAGGATTGAGATAGGAAGAGTAAGAAAAGAAAGATGTGTGACAGCCAGAGAATAAGATAGTTATTTACCTGAGATCATGATAGACTGATATATAAATTGTTATATAAAACACAGTTTAAGAAAGATAGAACGCATTTGAGAGAAAGAGAATGAGAGAGAGAGAGAGAGAGAGAGAAAGAGAAATGAAGGAGTGAAAAAGATTGATTGATAATGTTTTTTTTTCACCACGCAAAGTTAGGTCTCATGAACCTCTCTACCACTTATTGAGGAAAAAAGAAAGAAAGAGGGTAAGAGAAAGTGGAGAGGAGAGAGGATTGAGATAGGAAGAGTAAAAAAAGGAGGTTGTGTGAGAACCAGAGAAGAAGATAGTTATTTACCTACATCATGATATATTGATATATCAAAACCCATTTAAAAAAATAGATAGATAGATAAAAAGATAGAGGTAGATAGATAGAGAGAGAGATAGACGGAGAGAGAGAGAGAGAAGAGAGAGAGAGTGAGAGAAGAGATTCGCAGGGAGATAATATAAATGGAGATTAATAGAGAAAGAAAATGGCTGGGGGGAAAAATAGTGAGTACTTGGCAGAGATTAGAGAAAGAGGTAGTGAAAGAAAAAGATAGAGAGAGAAAGAGAGAAGAATGGGATTGACTGAGAGAGAAAGAGAGATTGTTAGAGAGCGAGGCAAATGATCCGGAGATTGATTGATAGCGTTTTATTTAGCCACGCATAATTAGGTCTCTCGGACCTCTCTTACATCCAACGTGGGTTATAATTTACATAAAAAAGTGATAATATGAAAAAAAACCACTAAATGATCTTTTCAATTAATTGTTCGATTGAAAATAATCAATATTGGTCAATTATGACCGCTAAGCATGGTCGAAGGATTAATTAAACAATCTGCTGGTAACAATAAAACCTATCCTGTAATGTAAATTACACCGTAATAATTAAAATTATTATTTAAAATCGGAATGTGTTAAAATAAAATAAAACATATTTAAGAAAAAAAAATTACAATTAAAATAAATGAAGAGACTGCTGTAAAAAAATGATGAACAAGACTAATTGTAAGTAAAAAGAATATATATATATATCTCACTTATAATATTTGAAGTAAGAGTGAGAAAGAGGTGAGGGTGAAAAAGAGAGATAGAAAGAGAGAGAGGGAGGTGAGGAGTGGAGAGGAGGGAAAGAATGGAATTTACAGACAGAGAAATAAATATTGCTAGAGAAAGAGAGAGAGGAGAGAGAAAGAGAGAGAGGAGAGAGAGAATATGAGTGACTAAGAGGGAAAGGGAGATGGTTAAATAAAGAGAGATATAGAAAGAATGGCAGAGAGAGATAGATTTGCTAGAGAAAATTAAACGAAAAAG